AGTCCCTAATAAACACTACTGAGCTGCCTTGGTTTTCCCAGCAAGGTCACGGCAAATGGCCGCAGTGGCTCAAGGACTGCGATCAGGTCACTCCAGTGGAGTCTGTGGCCTTGGCCAATAACCAAATCTCCCTGATGGGGTGTGGTCAGGTCTAAAAGAGCCGAAGGCCGGGCAGGGTCCACCCACGGCTGTTTGCCTAGCACCTTGCATGTGGTTCCTCCCGTCTGTCGGCTTCTTTCCCATCCTGCCCTCGGGCCCCTCTGTCACTGCCTTATTTACGGCCGTGTCACCCCCGCCAGGCCTGATAAATCACCTCTCCCTGTAGGACTGGCTCCTCCTCTGCACTGGTACCCAGGATGCTTTGCAATATACCTTAAAAAAAAAGCTGTGAATCAATACATACCCAGGGTTTTAGAAAAATTAAACAATAAAGAAATTTCCCTCTCTCACCTCTTCCCACAACTCCTCGGTTTCTCTCCTCAGAGGCAACCACAGTTTCTAGGTCTTTTTACCCATTCTTCAGAAACGAATGTTTCGTGCACACAAACACGTGCACACGAACACACCCCTCCCATCTATGTTTACACAAACCAGGGCGCTCAGCACAGTCTCTTCCGCATCTTGCTGGTCCTTTGGCCTCTGTGTACATAGATTCCTGCTCCTTTTCAGCAGCTGCAGAGTTTTCCCCCATCTTTATGACCCACCTTTATTCAGCCAGCCCCCTAATGAGGGATATTTCGGTCATTTCCAACCCGCTGCTCTCACAAACAATGCCGCAGTGAGTGAGTGTCTCTATGCACAGGTCTGTGCGCTTTCACGAGCGTGTCTGCAGGATCCAGTCCTAGACATGCAATTGCAAAGCAGGGAGCGTCTGCATCTCTGATGTGGATCAATAGTGCCAAATTACCCTTTAAAAGAGACCAATTTACGCTGCCTCCTGCAAGGCCTGAGGGAGCTAAAGTTAGCCCTGGAAAAGGCATACCTGAGGGGTCACCCCTGACTCCAAGCACCCATTGCCAACCCCGGCTGCACGTTAGAACCACCCGGGGAAATTTCAAAGCCGTCCCCTGTGTGGGTCCCCAGACCTCAAATCTGATTTCATTAATCTGGGTGCAGCTCAGTCATTTGGGGTTTGTTTTTTATTTCATTGTTTCTAGGTGCCCTTCTATGCTAGAAGGTTCCAGGGTGGAGAAACAACTTCAATCACCAATGGCTCTCCCAGTCCAGTGTGAAGCCCACAGTTGTTAGCAAGATAGAGAAGCCCATCGTTTTTTATTTCTCTCTGCATCTGTGCTCTCTTGTTCACGTATCTGCTACTCATGCACCAAGGGTTACCCAGGGTCCTGCCTCGGCGGGCACTGCCCTGGCTCCCCTGGAGTGCAGTCATATATGGAGCCGCCTGGCACAGGCTTGCAAGAGGCAACCATTAGCATCTGTTCCCTGCTCAGCATAACAGTTATGTTGTTAGCATGAAACTGGGCATGGTAGGAGTACTTACATCACAGTGATTGGCAAATGCTACAATCAGAACTCCCCCTGAGCCCCCAAATCCAATTATTATCATTCAATAACACGCTATCATTTGGAAGGTAACCTGTTGCCTCCTCTGCTCACCCATGGCACCCTGGGGTCTACTCCAGCTCTTCTCACCTCTGTTACCAGGACACTGGAGCTCCTACAATAATACTAATGAAGATGATGCAAACAGTAATTTCTCATTGAGCATTTACTAGGTGCCAGGCACTGAAGTCAGTGTTTTCCATGCATTAACTCACTCACTCCTTACAATAAGGACGGTCATTACCCCATCGTTCCCGAGGCGCACAGAGGAAAGGGGACTTGCCCAAGGTCACACAGCCAGTGAGCAACGCCGCAGTACAGTGGGTGCTCGATAAATGTTTGCTGAACGCATGGATGGGTTCCAGCTTCTAGAAGCAGATGTTGGGAGGCCTGGTTACACAGGCAAGGCAGGGCCTTCTCCTCAACAAATTGCTACTATCTATGATGGTTGGTGTTTGACCTGCCTGCCCCCAAACTAGTCAGGACTTATCTTGCTGCCGTAATAAACACCACACATCTAGCAGCTTAAAACAGCACAAATTTATTATCTCACTGTTCTGGAGCCCCAGAGGGGTCTCCCTGGACTAACAGATGTCCAAAAATTAATCCCGGGACCTGCAAGTATATTACTGACAAGACAAAAGGAATTTTGCAGGAGTGATTAAATTAAGGATTTAAAAATTCAGAGATTATCCTGGATTTATCCAGCGGGCTCAATGTAATCAGAGGGTTCATATAAGAGAGATGCGAGCGTGGCAGAGGAGGAGATGCGAGGACAGAGGCGGGAGTCAGAGTGATGTGTGCACAAGCCAGAGAGTGTGGGCAGCCCCTCGCAGCTGCAAACGGCTCTCCCCTGGAGCCTCCAGCAGGAATGCAGCCCCGACAACACATTGACTTTGGCCCCTTTTAACTGGGTTCTGGCCTCCAGAACAGTAAGATGTGTGTTTTTGTTACAACCGCACCAGGAAACATACGAGGTCAGTGCAGCCCTGCCCCATATATCTGAAATGTGCGGCAGGCGCAATCTTTCAGAAGAGAGCAAGGAGGGGCCGGTATGGGCTGTCCTGTATCCGCGACTCCCAGGACGCTGGAAAGAGCCAGGGGCTGGGCTCCCTGCCTGGTTAGCTGAGGTCAAGTGCACACAATCGGGGCAGGGGGCAGGGACACAGGAAGGCAGTGGCCTTAACCTAAAAGGAGACTGGAACTTGAACAAGCCCTGTGGAAGGACTCAGTGAATCCTCAGGGCTGGGGCTGATGGGCCTGGACGCCGGGCTAAAACCAAAGGTCCTGCAGCTACGGCACAGCTGCAGAGCTGACCGCAGGCGCTGGGGCTGTGGGAAGATCCCTGGACAGTGTCCTCACTGGCCTTGTCCTGCCGTGGACTGGCCATGAGAGCTCAGACACTTCTCCCCCTTCTCTGGATCTCAGCTCCTCTGTGCCTCACCAGGGGCTTGGTCTAGACCAGCACCTCTCAACCCTTCTTTTAAAACACTTCTTTTTTTAAACAGCAGACTCCTTCCTTCAAAAAAAATCTGTCTTATGCAACTTGAATTTGTTAATATTCATAAAAACAACAAGCACCTAACTGGGCCTTGCTTCACCTCAGACACTCTTCCAAGCTCCTCCTAAATGTGAATTGATTTGTTCAATACTCACAACACATCAACAGGTACATACGATCATCTTCATTTCACACATGAGGGAACTGAGGCACAGAGAGGTTAAGAAACTTGCTGAAGGTCACCCAGCAAGGAAGTGGTAAATTTTTGATTTGACCCATATATTCCAGATCTAAAGAGAACTAACTGAGAGGGAAGGGGACAGATTAGGGGAGATTTAGCCAGAGGTGAAGTCAAGATAAATAATAAAGAGCTCAGGGAGGTGGGAGGACAGAGAGAGGGGAGGCAGGGAAAAGCAGCCTGCGCTGGAAAGATCATTTTGGAGTCTGGTCAGTGACAGGTGATAGAGCAGCTGTCAGAGCTGAGAAAACTGGGGAGTCAGAGGTAGGGGAGAGCGACTCCATTGCTGACAGGTGCTCCGTGGTTTCTCAGAGTGGGCTGAGTGTGCAGACTGGGCCTGTGGGGCCACGGCATTCATGTGGGTTGCACTTGGAGACTTACTATGGGAAACTGATCAGCGTGGAGGTGACACAGTGAGGCAGAGAGTCTCCTCCCTATGTCCTCCCTTTTCCATGTCATCCCCCATTCTGTGTCCCTTGATCATGTTGCAGCACTCTGGGGTTTCACGCAGTGCTGTGTGACAGCCACTGCCCCGCACCACCTCCATTCAGTCAGCCTCTCTGATCCGCTGTGGGTTTGTCCCCACAGCCCAGGTCTCAGGGAGCCCACCGAGCCCAGCAGCTGCTGCTAGCCCCTCCAGGAGGCCCTGGAAGGCTCAAGCTCAGACCTCCATCACTCCTGGATCCTCACATCAGAACTCAAAGTCTCTTTAAGTGCAGATTCCATCCAGCAAGGTGACCTTGAGCAAGCCTCTTCCCTAGGCCTCCGGACCTTGTCTGCAAAGCAAAACTTGGAAGCCAAGAGACCAGACCTCAGAACCTCTTAAGAAAATTAAGAAGAGCCAATGTACATTGAGCGCCTACATGAGAAGACGATTTTGCAATTTCTGTCATCATCACTTCTTCGACTGTCCTCACTTGACCAGGGGAAAAACTGAGGCCCAGAGAGGTGGAGCGACTGACCAAGGGCACACAGCCAGGCAGCACAGAGCCGAGGCAGAGCCGAGGCCGAGATGCGGACGCCAGAAAGTACGCCTCTGCCTCCTGGCCCACACCAGCCAAACCCACAGAAGGGGCTCACTCTGTGGCTTCTGGTGTGACCCCCAACCCCTCCCATTCTCATAGTTTTTACAAACAAGAACAATGAGGCTCAGAGGTACTAAGTCACCTGCTCAAGGTCACCCAGCCGTTTACACTGGAGTCAGGGATCCAGGTGCATGTGATTCCAAACACACACCTCTTCCCGGTCCAGTCCATCGTGCAGCCTCCAGAACTCCCACCCAGTGGTGGGAGGCTGGGCTTCTCTGAACCTGTCCCAGACCTGGGCTGGTTCAAAGCATTGAAAAGTTCCTCCTGCAGCCGCTAGCTGAATACCTGCCCCTCACCAGCATACCCTAAGGAGCCTACAGAGTGCCGGTAGCTGCAGATGCCCCGGCCCCAAGTTATCCTCTGCTCCTTCCCAGTTATGCTCCTCCTTGGAGGGGAGGGGAGGGGAGGACAGCTCTCCTCGCTCTTAAGGCGGTTGGCAGAGCAGCGGCTGGCTGCCGCTGCTCCAGCTTGCTGCCTGGCTGATTGAGAGATTACTCCTAAGCCCTTCCCATTTCCAACCCCTTTCCCCCACCCCCCACCCCTTGCAGGACCACACTGGCTGTCCCCGTGGGACACGGAGTGCAGAGCTTGGAACCAAAGCAGGACAGCTGGACCCGCTCCCTCCTAGCATGAACCCCTCAGACTCTTGCCTCTCATGGGGGAAGGGGCTTCTGGGTCCCCTTAAAACCCCTACCCCACTCCCCCAGGGCTGTTCTGCAGCTGCTGGAGAGAGAGATGCAGAATGAATGAATTTTGGGTTTCTGGAGGAGACCAGGGAAGAAAGGTTGGAAACTAACTCTGCCAGAAACTGCTTGTTTGGAATTTTTAAAATTTCCCTTCATTTCCACCACAAACCTGTCTCTTCCCAGGACATCAAGACATGGGCTCCTCTTGCCTGGAAGAGAAACAGCTGGAAATGGGCTCCCTGAGACAGGCGGGTGAGTTAAACTCCCGGGGAAAAAGTTGGTGTTTGCTGCAGGGGTGGGCATCGGCAGGACACTGAAACACCCTTGGCCGAAGTGCTGTTGCAAGGGACTGCCTTTCCCGTGCTTTGGAAGGAGCTTCATGTGCCAGCTGTCTGGTGGTGGCGGGAGGCAGTGGATTGCCAAGTTGGGGGTGTGCAGGGAGTGCAGAAAGTACAGTTTGGGGGGTTCTAGAAAGAGACCCAGGCTGGGAGATAGAGCCCTGGGTTGGGTTTGGATTCGTTGTGTGACCTTGGATGAGTCACTTCAGCTCTCTGAGTCTTGGCTTTTGCAATCAGAAAATGAAAACACTTGGGAAGGGCTCCCTGGATTTCCGAACACTCTTCTCTCTGCAGGCTGCTCGTCTTCCTCCGGCCATACATTGTAAACGAAGCAAGGCACACAAAATAGCCTGACGTGGTGTGGCGAGCAAGTGTGAAGTGTACAGGCTGTGATTCCACTCTTCGCTGTCTGCCGGAATCCAATTGGCTCTGCAATTGAGAGGAACTTTTCTTTCCATTCAGCAGCTGAGTGTTTCTCTTGGCTGGAGTGCATCTTGGAATGTAAGGTTATAGATGCTCTGGAAACAGCTCTGGCTCCCATGAATAGCATAGGGAATGGTTGCAGGATGCTGAGGATGAGCACTATCATAGAGGTGATTTTTCAAAGGGCATGGGCAAAATCTAAAACCCTACTCTAAACCGGGAGCCCTGGTTTCAGATAGGTCTCAAATAGAAAGGGCATTAGAGGCCCCCTCATTTTGCAAATGACAAGATCTAGGCCCAGAGAGGCAGGGTAACTGGCTCAAGGTCACACAGCAAGGGTGGTGAGACAAGCACCCAGTGAACATGGAGGAGTGCTGTCATGGAGGGTAAAAACGTCCAAATGAGAATGCAAACAAGAGGGACAAGGTGACCATTGTGGAACTTCTCCTGAGAGTCAGGTGCCACGCTAAGCAGGGTCACATTCCTTCTTACTTAACCTTCCCGGGCCTTTGTTTCCTCATCCGTGAAATGGAAACATCACTGTCTATTTCATGGGGTTACTGAGATGAGTTACAAGGTGCCTGGCTTGTCAGAAGCATCTAGAAGTGTTCTTAATACACACTTCATGCATATTACTGCGTGGAACCCTCATTGTGCCCCATGAGGGGGGCACTGCAACCACCCCAGTGGTATAGACGAAGCAAAGGGTATAGGGTGGCTGGGTAATCCACCTGTGGTGGCAGTTCTTAAAGGGTTGGAACCTGGCAGTGACCTTGAGAACCTCTTACACACTGAAGCCCTATTTGTACCAACTGTACCTTGCAAGGTTGGTACAAGTTTTGTCATGGAATGAATGATGCTGAAGTCAGAGAGGTTAAGGCACATGCCCGAGGCCACACAGCCTGAGAGTGGCACAGTTCTGACTTGTCCGGCTCAGGACTGAGCTCCCCAAGTCCCGGCCCACATAATGTCTAATTCCAGGGAGATCTGCTGAGAGATAAGTATGCGCTTCTCCAGGAAGGGAAGGGATGGCATTGTCTCCTTTTGTTCACTGAGAGATGCCAAGTGCATAGTAGGTGCCCAACAAATCTGTGTTAGAGGAAAGATTCAAAGAACGAATAATGCAGATACAGTGGCAGGAAAGCAGGCCCAAGAAAACATCTGGGACATCTAGAACTCTGCCCTAAGGCTGATTCCTCCTGCTTTCTTGCTCTTTTCCCCTTGGGTGCCAGGACGTCGACGGCAATGCCCATAGCCTCCAGAGTCAGGGGCCTGCATGCCAGGCACCACCACTCCGGCTCCTGCAGCCCTCTGAGTCAGCTCTTGCCTGGCTCCGTGGAGCCGCCGTCCATCAAGGGCCATTACTACCGCAGGGCCCGGAAGGTGGGTGCGCTGGACGCCTCCCCAGCGGCAGACCTGAAGAAGGAGATCCTGGTGAACGTCGGGGGCAAGAGGTATGTTCTTCCCTGGAGCACGCTGGACGAGTTTCCCCTGAGCCGCCTGAGCAAGCTCAAGTTCTGCCGGAACCAGGAGGAGATCGCGCAGCTCTGCGACGATTACGATGAGGACAACCAGGAGTTCTTCTTCGACAGGAGCCCCAGCGCTTTCGGAATGATCGTGAGCTTCCTGGCGGCCGGCAAGCTGGCCCTCCTGCGGGAGATGTGTGTGCTGTCCTTCCAGGAGGAGCTGACCTACTGGGGCATCGAGGAAGCCAACCTGGAGAAATGCTGCCTGCGGAAGCTGCTGAAGAAGCTGGAGGAGCTGGCCGAGCTGCGCAGGGAGGAGGCGCTGCAGCGTCAGAGGGAGGCGTGCGGCCCCACCGTGGTCGCCTCGCGCTGGGGGCTCTTCATGAACTGGCTGCGGGAGATGGTGGAAAACCCGCAGTCGGGGCTGCCTGGGAAGGTCTTCGCTTGCCTGTCCATCCTCTTCGTGGCCACCACGGCGGTCAGCCTGTGTGTCAGCACCATGCCCGACCTGAGGGCCGAGGAGGACAAGGTAAGTGGCTTCTGACTGGGTTCATTTCTCCATCGGGCACAGTGCCCAGGGCCCACACGACTTAGGGTTCATGAAAACATTTTAATGTGTTTGAAAACAAGAAGGAAAAAATGAATATTATCCAGCATGGATTACATTTATTTTTAGACCAACACAGTCATGAAAGAGAATTTTTAATGTATTTTGGGCGGGAAGAGGCCCACAAAGGCCAAAGCACCTTGGGACCCACAAAAGTCACGAGGTGGCCCTCTCTCTGATCATGAGCCCTGGGCATTGACAAAGCCACCTCTGTTCTTAGCAGGCCTGGCAGGTCCAGCCTCCCTGCTTCCGGCTCTGTGGTCATTGGCAATTGGTTTCATTTCTCTGAGCCTCAGTTTCCTCCTCCATAAAAGGAGTAGAGTTCTGCACACTGTAGGTGTATTGGGCAATATTCTGTGCCATGCACTAGGCCAGGCCAGGAACCCCTGCCTTCCTGAGCCATCATTCAGCGGGCATCCCAACTCCTTTTCCAGATGAAGGGATTGAGCACAGGACATTTGGCTTTCTCACAGTTACAGCAGACACAGGCCCAGGAGGCAGAGATACTCTGTCCTCTGTTTTCCTGCTTCTTAGTTCACTCCTGAGCTTCTCAGTCATTCTTACTGAATGGGGAAGTGAGAGATATGTTAACTTCTAAGTGACTCTGCCCCAGGAGGCCAGAGCAAAAAAATTTCTTGTCTATTCCTGCGCTCTCTTTCCAGGAGAAAGGAATGCGCTCTCTTTCTCTCTTTCCAGGAGAAAGAGACCCCCGACCGCCCCAGGGAGTCAGATGATCTGAGAAATGAGTTGAGAATCTAAAATTTTGTTGAGAAGGTTATTGGAGAGCTTCAAACTAATTTAAAATGTTGCTCCTGCCCAGCTTTATACTCCTCCGTGGCTCCCCATCACCCTAACTTACAGAGCTTATATTACTGTACTTGGGGGGAGCCCATAAATGAAACACATGCATAAGACAGTGCAGCCCGTACGCGAGCCATAGCCATGGTCAGTCAGCGTAAGTTCCCTTCCCTTAAAGATGCATTCCAGGACAATAAGCTAGGATCAGAGAACGTAGATGGAGAACCAGCCAGGTCCTCACACAGAGCAGGCTCTCAACAATGATTTGTTGTGTAAAATGTATCTCATCCAACTTATAAATGCTTAGTCCTAAAGCAAACTAACCTGAATGTTAGACGTGCAGACAGCTTTTCCTCCCCATAGAGGACTAGAGTCCCAATTGCAGGCATTGCTTACATTCTTCAGCACAATATCATGTGAGTTAGGATCCTGCCCGTCCACAGAAATATTTACATGTGGACACTGCAGGAAAAATACTAGGACCAAAACAATGGCCTTGGCCCCCCTGTCTCAGAGGGTGCCCTTGATCCCAGTAACTGAGGGACGACCCCTGGATTTCTACCAGCCCGCTCCTGTCAGGGATTTCCAGGGAGCCAGGATTTAGGCTGGGCGGAGGAACAAGGACTTTCAAAGCCTACTGCTTTGAGAATTACCCAGGGTACGAACCCAAGCCTGGTTTAATGCTCGAAAGCTCGGGAAACAAATCAGAGGTGGAGAAAGGGCTGCAGAGCCAGGCAGCCCCAGATCTGAGCAGAGCAATCAGCTGTCACTCCTAGTCCTGGGGTCGGAGAATGTCACCTTGTGAAATGGCCTTTCCTCGCACTGCGTGAGAGGCTGGGAGATGCGGCCCTCAGAATAAGTGTCTATTTCTGTTTCAACAACAATAATAATAATGCAGGGAGCCAGGAGGCAGAGGACAGGGCTGTCTTTGTTCTTTCAAGGCCATGTCCTTCCATTTACGTAAGAAGATGATGTTCTCCCCCCACCACAAGTGCCTGGTGTTTCATATTTGCCTCCGGGGACATCAGTCCGGCGATCAGGCAAACGGGCTGCTACGTAGGCCATGCTGGCTGGCTCCTTCGGGCTTTACCCACTCAGCGTGTTTTTGAGGCTCACCCACGGTGTAGCATGTGTCAGCACCTCACGCCTTTTTGTGGCTGAGTAATAGTCCATGGTCCTTTCCCCCATAGTTCCTTATCCATCTGTTCGGTAATGAATGCTGCAACTTCCCACATTCATGGCTCCCCTCTGCCCAAGTCCTCTGCAAAGATCCTCAACTCTGTCACTCATTTCTCATGCCCTTCCACACGGCCTCAGCCTTGCTGGGCAGCTCTGCTGATCAGAGCACTTTCCTTTCCTTTGGGGGAGGCTGAAGGTCACTGCCAGCTGCAGCTGAACACTCATTCCTCCTCTCTTGACCTCTTTCTTCCTCTTCACTAGTGCTGAGATCCCAACAGCTGCAGACAGACAGTATCTCTTCCTGGAAAGGAGCCAGAATCTCTGTTTCACTGGTCCTGGGTTCAAATCCCAGCTCTGGTACTCCCTGGCTCGGCCCTTGCATGAGCCACCCTATTTCTCTGTGCCTGTGTTCTGTCACCTATCAAAGTGGATAATGGCCAACACCTACTCAGAGAGTGGCGGTAGGATTAAGTAACCTGATTTATCGTGTGCCAGCCCAGAGTGCAGCTCGCTGCTTTACCCACCCTTCGGAACTCAGCTCACACCCCTCCCACCTGCTCATCTGCTTTGCTCATCAGCTTCTCTCCCAGCTCACGGAACCCACACGGCAGCGGCAAAGGCAGCAGCCAGTCCACTCAGATGTCTTCTCTGTCTGTTTCCAGTGCCTGTTAACATCCTTCATGCAATCAATAGATCTTCCCTGAGGGCCTACTCTGTGCTGGGGACTCAGTGGTGACAAGTACAGGCACAAACCTGGTCTTTCTACCTGCCTGCAAGTCTTTGCTCATTTCTCTTCCCACTTTAGATTCTACTTTGGTCCCAGAGGGTTGCTTGATGCATGTATCGGGCTGCAGCTGTGCACAGCACCCTGGGCGGTCACGGAACCGCAGTGGGGCTCCGGCTTGGACCGCGGGGGCTCTGCGTCTCACTGCCCCTCATGTCTTGTACTGTGGTCTAGGCATCTTGCTAAGGTGCTGGGCTGGGGAAGAAAGGCACGGAAAGATTTTTAAAGGATCAGGTAGAACTATTGGGGACCCCTTGAACCTGCAGCAGGCTGCCCAGAGGCACAAATGGGGAACATCACAGGGCAGGAAGGAGGGAGGGAGGGAGGCCTGAGCTGCTCAGTGGAGCTCTGGGACCAGCGCTGAGCTGAACTGGAGGTGAGAAGTGGCCGAATCTGGCCACAGTCCCAGAGGGGGAGCTGGCAGACTGCGGCAGGTTCAGCGAGGGCCCATTCTAGAAGTTCCATCTGGGAGGGACTCAGGGCCCAATTCTTGACCTTGGAGCTTTCCCCACACCCTTCTGTCTCTCACAGCGATGCCTGCCAGCTCTGCCTTGGGAATATGGCCAATGGCCTTCTCACGAGGGTGCAGCTCAACTTTTGGGCTGTAGTTTCTACCTCCCGCGTTTGATAAAAAGCCTTGTGCTGGAGCCAGCTCCTCCTCCTCCCCGTGCCTCTCCTGGATCACAAATCAGCTCCATAGAGAACTGTTCGCTCTCTGTGTTTCGTGATATTTCATAATTATCTAGGGAATTCTTCTTAACTTGGTTTTTTGGTTTGGGGGGGTTTCTCCCCAGCTGAGTGTCCCTGTGTTTTGGCCAACAAGAAGTTTTCCCCATTTCCTGGAAGAGGCCCACCTTTCCTGGGTCTGGAGCTCACGCTGTTCCTCTGGCCTAGGCACGCTCTCTGTCCCTGGGCCCGGCCCCTAGTCCCCATCAGCTTGGCTCCACACACCCTCTGAGCCCCTTTTCCCAGCGTTGGAGAGTGGGGGTGGCTGGGAGGAGGGAGTACAGGGGGTGGGGAGAACTGGGGAGGGCAGGGGAGGCTCAAGGCAAGGGGGGAGTCGGGAGAGAGTTCTGGAAGGGCCACATAGGAGGCCAGAGAGGGCAGAGAGGAAGGGAGAAGCCAGGAAGAGGGATGAATCAGCATGGCCAGGCTCAGAAAAGGGTCAGAATAATCAGCCCAGACTTGAGGACAGGGCCAGAGGCACAGATGGGGGAAGTCACAGGCAGGCAGGAGGGAGGGAGGGAGGGAGGGAGGCCTGAGCTGCTGAATGGAGCTCTGGGACCAGCGCTGAGCTGAACTGGAGGTGAGAAGTGGCCGAATCTGGCCATATTCCCAAAGGGGGAGCTGGCAGGCATCACTGGGAGAGACAGAAGGGTGCGGGGAAAGCTCTAAGGTCAAGAATTCTGCCTCGAGTCCCTCCTTGATGGGACTTATAGAACCAGCCCTCACTGTATCTGCAGCAGTCTGTTGGGCAGTCTGTCCAGGTGGACCCTCGGGGACCTTGGCTTTGCCCTCATAAAGTCCTGCCCGCCCTCTGGCCCCAGAGCCCTTCAGAGCTGCTCTGCTCTGGAACTTGGGGACAGAAGTAGGGGCACGGCTGCGGGGCCCCACTCATTGCCTCCTCACCCAGGACTGACTCAGCCACTTCACCCTCACCCCTGGTTTCTCTCTTTTTACAGTATACTTCACATCCTATAATATTCATCCTTTTAAAGTGCACAGATCAGTGGGTTTTAGTTCACAATTATTCAATCATCACCACTATCAATACTTTCAGAACATTTTTGTCACCCCCAAAAAATCCCTGTACACACTACTAGCTACTCCACATCCCCAAACCCCCCAGACACAATCAGCCACGAACATACTTTCTGTCTCCATGGACTTGCCTTTTCTGGCTATTTCATACAGATGGAATCACACAATCAGTATCTGGCCTTTTGTGCCTGGCGCCTTTCACTGAGTGTAAGGGTTTCAAGGTTCATCCACGGGAAGTGTGATCGGTACTCGATCCTTTCTCTTCTTTCAGTGCTTCATGTTTCTTACAACTGGACGATGTCCCACTTTAAGAGTCCACCAAATTTCGTTTGTTCGTTCTCCAGCTGGTGGGCATCTGGGTTGTTTCCACACTTGGGCTGTCATGAAGAATGCTGCTCTGGGTGTCCGCATGTGAGTTTGCTGCGGATGCCTGTTCTCACTTCCTTCAGGGACACACCTAGGAGTGGGGTGTCGGGTCAGAGGGGAAAGGTCTACCTGAGGGACCGCCAACCGGTTCCACAGTGGCTGCACATTTGCAGTCCCCCAGCAATATTAGAGAGCTCTAAGTTCTGCTCATCCTCGCTGACCCTCGTTACTTTGTCCTTAGAATCATAGCTATCCTAGTGGGCGTGGAGTGGTAGCTCACTGTGGGCTTGATTTCTGGCCCAGTTTCTTAAACATTTATTTATTTTTAAAAATGTATTTATTTTTAGAGAGAGGGAAGAGGAGGGAGAAAGAGAGGGAGAGAAACATCAATGTGTGGTTGCCTCTTGAGCGCCCCCTCCTGGGGACTTGGCCTGCAACCCAGGCACGTGCCCTGTTGGGGAATTAAATCGCTGACCTTCTGGTTCGCACGCAGGCTGGCACTCAATCCATTGAGCCATACCAGCCAGGGCCTGACCCGGTTTTGTTTGTTTTGTTCTAAACTCTTCATTATGGAAAATTTCAGGCATTTACAGTAAACACAATAACATAATGCACCCCAGGCACCCACAGCTCAGCTTCCACAACTGTCCACATGTGCTATTCTTGTTCTCTCTCTTTCTCCGTCCCCTCCCTACTCCAGTTGTTTAGTATCATTCATTTTATTTTCATTTACAGTTTTATAAGTAAAATTTATAAGCATTGAAACGCACACTCTATTTAGCTGTTCAGTTTAATAATTGGACAGCCCCATCGACCCAGAAAATTCTCTCAGGTCCCTTCACAGCCCATCCCTACCCACCCAGATGCAGCTACTGTTTGGGTGATGTTGCCCACTCTAGATGAGTTTTTCCAGTTCTTGAACTTGACGTGAATGGGGACGTGCACCTGGGTTGTCTCGCACCACATCTTGTCTGTCCACGTGGTTGCACTGCTCACACCTCCAGCCTCCTCAGGCTGACTCACGTGTGCCTTCGCTGCCTGAGGGAAACAGAGCACACCTCATTCCTGCTGAGACAAGGGCCACCAAGAGAGTGACCAGCCGTGCTGGTTTGCCCAGGACTGAGGGGATTCTGGTGACCTGTGATTTTTCATGTTCAAACCCAGAAAAATCTGGGCAAACCAGGATGTGTTGTTCAACCCACCTGCAAAACACAACTAGAAACGTCCTTGGAGAGAAAAAAGTAACATTTCGTTCCTTTCTGTCTATTTTTCTTCAAATATTGGCTGGTCTGGGAATTCTTTTCTTAGCTAGAGTCCCATAAATCCCCACTGCCCCAAGGCCAGCAGCGAACAGGGCGTTTCTCTGGGGATCAGGGCTGGGAGGTCGGTTTAAGGATGCGGAGTGGAATGGCAGTGCAGGGGGTGAGTCGGCAGAGAGGGCGCGTGCTGCAGTGCAGGGAGGTGGCCAGGCCAGCTGGGGCCAGGCCTCAGGAGGGAGGTGGCTGGTGCATGCCTTGAATATCCAAACACCAGCACCAGAGGCAGTAGGGGGACCCACAGAGCTCTCAGGAGTCACCTTACTAAGCTATTGGGTCACTGGCCTGAAACAGCTATTCCCAGCAACCCTAGGCTCTTAAGCCAGGAGGCAATCTCCCAGAATGCCAACGATGAAAAAGACCTTGTAGGGAGAATCTACCCCGGAATTTGAAAAACTTCCAGATGCCCAAATATCTGCATTTGTAACAAACACCGTGGGAGATTCTGATGCAAGGGGTTCTAATTCAGCTTTCAGAAATACTGTTTCTGTTCCAATGTCTTCATTGGAAACTGGAGCACAGAGAGGGGGAGTTACTGCTACTTGGCCACAGAGCAAATTTGTAGCAGGATTGGTGAATCAGGATCCTAACTCCTGAGCTCTCCGGGATCCTGAAGCAAACCTGGGCAGGTGCAGCAAAGACCTCCCAGTGAGTTGGAGAATTTCCTCAGGTTCCTGTAGAATCTAGTGATGGGAGGAGGATATTGTTACCCTTAAACTGACCAGGCAGGCCATGTCTGTGACCAGTCACTCATCTCAAAAAGACAGCTCTGAAGTGTAATGTGCCTGCAGGTGCCGCAGCCTGTTACCTCCTTTACAGGCAGAGTTTCCATTCATCGCAGCAACTTCTAGGGCAGAGAACCGAAAGCCCGGAGGGGCTAAATAACATGCCTGAGTAGGCGGAAGTATGGGATTTGAATCTGGGTTACAGGCTCCACACCCTCAACAGCACTCCCACCTCCTCCCACCCCTTCCGTAGACCGGATACAGGTCAAGGGGGAGAGCTGTCCAGCCCTGGACAGGCAGACAGAGGGCAGAACAGACCGGCCCATTTCTCTTCCACCAGTGGCCAGACATAAAGGACATTTCAGTTTGGTATTCCTGTGGGCCCAGGCACTGGAAATAATTTCTTTTTCCACTGCAGAGCCTTTTAATACAAAGAAAATTGCAGTTGTCAACATTTTGCTTTTCACTGAGGCAACTGGCTTCGGTCATGCATTTACTCATCCATCATAAATATAAATGTATATAGTCATATATACTCATATATATTCATATATATATTTGTATATTCCGGTTCTCAACTCTGGCTTCACATTAGAATCATCTACGGAGCTTCTGGAAAATTCCACTGCTCAAGCTCAAATCTAGATCAATGAAACAGAATCTCTGTTGTCCCAGCCCAGACACTGGGTTTTTTTCAAAGTCCCCCAGGTGATTCTGCTGTGCAGCCAAGGCTGGGAACCACTGTTCGGGACCAGAGCCTCTCAGGCTTTAGCACGCATAAAAACACTTGGGGGTCTTGTTAAAATGCAGACTCTGATTCCTCAGGGATAGGGTAGGGCCCAAGATTCTGTGTTTCTAACAAGCTCCCTGGCGAGGTGGATGCTCCCGGTTCGAGGACCACACTTTGAAGAGCAGAAGGGCTGGTGGGATCCTGTTAGAAGTCAGAAGCAGGGAGTGTGGATGGCAGGATGACGAATCCACAACAGCCCCCACCAGACACTTGTGGGAACAGTCACAATCCATGTCACAGGGCCTCTCTAGGGATGTTGGGAGCCCTCCCAGCAGCCTCCAGGCCCCCAGAAACACCTGCTTCTCTAGTACTGTACCCCACCCAGAGCCTCACTCAGGGCCTGGCACAGGGCGAATGCTTTAGACGTTCTTAGGTGAGTAATAAACAAGGGATGGCAGGAAAAGGAGTCACGAAATAGAGTGTCGTGGCTGAGAGACCATCTACTGTGTGTGTGAGCTCAGGCAAGTCATTTCACTGCTGGGAACCGTGTCCTGGGTCATAAAGTGAGGCCGCACTGCCCACTCACGGTGTCACTGTGGGGCTTAAGTGACAGCACTAGAGCAGTGCCTGGTCCACAAGAGGGGCTTCTCCCGGAAAAGGTAAAGTCTGGCTGCTATGACAAAGAGTCCCCAAGATGGAATGGCTTTGAACAAAATAGAAACTGATTACTCCATGAAGAGGAGTCAAGGTGAATGGGCAGCTGTCATTCTGAGACTCAGGTTTTTTTTTCCTACCCTGATGCTCCATCCTCCCCTGGGCTGTTGGTTCAATCTGCTGGGTCCAAGTTGGGTTGCAGGGCCCAATGGGTTGTCCCAGCTCGTGGGGAGAAAGCATGTGCAGGAATTTACACCCACATTGTAAGTTCTGGAACCAGAGGTGGCATGCATCATATATGTTTGCATTCCACAGGTGGGGACTTGGGCATTTGGCCACACCTAGCTGCAAGGGAAATTGGAAAGGGGGCCTCTGGCCTAGCTGACCAGGCTCGTGCCCGGCCACAACTTGATAACTATGTAAAAGGGGGCTCTGGTAGCGTGGCTCAGTTGGTTGGAAAGTTGTTTCATGAACTGAAAGGTTGCCGGTTCAATTCCCAGTCAGGGCTCATGCCTAGGTTGCAGATTTAATCCCTGGTTGGGGTGTGTGTGGGAGGTAACCATTTCATGTTTCTCTTTCACACTGATGTTTCTATTTTCTCCCTTCCTCTCTCTCTCAGGAGAGAGGAAGGGAGAGAGGAGAGGAATAAATAAAAAAATAAATAAATAAATAATTTTAAAAGAGGGGATTTTGGTGGACAACTAAGAGTCCACAGCACAGCTCAATTGAGATAGATAATATATAGAAGAAAGAGAGAATATATAGTACACATAGAATACATAGGAGTATATTAATATGTAGAATCTACATGTAGATATCAATATCAGTATTCAATATATCAATATTCCACATATTCCATAGATAGATAGATAGATAGATACCAATATCGATATCAATACATGGGATGGCTTTCTGGCATAGTTACTTCCCCCCATTTCCGGTGCTTTTGCCCATCCGCTCTACCCTGCGTTCCGTTGCTTCTCTAGGGTGAGTGCTCTCAGAAGTGCTACTACATTTTCATCGTGGAGACTGTCTGCGTGGCGTGGTTTTCCCTGGAGTTCTGCCTTCGGTTTGTCCAGGCCCGGAACAAGTGCCAGTTCTTCCAAGGGCCCCTGAACATCATTGACATCCTGGCCATCTTCCCCTATTATGTGTCCCTGGCGGTGTCGGAGGAGCCCCAGGAGGAGGACGACAGACCGGGTGGCAGCTCCTACCTGGAGAAGGTGGGGCTGGTGCTGCGTGTGCTGCGGGCCCTGCGCATCCTCTACGTGATGCGCCTGGCCCGCCACTCGCTGGGGCTGCAGACGCTGGGCCTCACCGTGCGCCGCTGCACGCGAGAGTTTGGCCTGCTTCTCCTTTTCCTTGGTGTGGCCATCACCCTCTTCTCCCCTCTGGTCTACGTGGCTGAGAATGAGTCCGGGCGGGTCCTGGAGTTCACCAGCATCCCAGCCTCCTACTGGTGGGCCATCATCTCCATGACGACGGTGGGCTATGGAGACATGGTCCCACGCAGTGTGCCGGGCCAGGTGGTGGCCCTCAGCAGCATCCTGAGTGGGATCCTCATCATGGCCTTCCCAGCCACATCCATCTTCCACACTTTCTCACACTCCTACTTGGAGCTCAAGAGGGAGCAAGAACAAGTCCAGGCCCGCCTCCGCAGCCTGCAGAAAGCCACCACGACCAGTGAACATGAGCTCCTGAGTGATGTGGACGACCTGATCCTGGAGGGACCCACTTCCCCTATCAAATACATTTGACTCAAAACCCCTTGTGAACCTGCCAGCACTTCAGTCCATCGCCCTCAGCTGACATGGGCTTGAAAACGGCAGGTGTAGACCATGTGTTGGTACATTTCTAGAGCTCGGGGGGCAGCTCCTGAAGCTGAGGGGCCCAAGGCCAACAGTGGGGTGGTTGTGATTCCTGACCCTCCTAGCCACCACAATGCAGACTGCCATTAGCTGTGTCACTTATCTTTTATTGTCTCCCTGCCCATCCCTGAGCACATCCACTTTTGCTGGGTTAGGTCAGTCTCCATTCTCATTTCCTGCCCAGCAGAGTGTTCAACATCCCAAGCTGGAATCCATTCCCCTGCAGAGCTGAGCCTACAGAATTCCGCTCCTATCCAAAGACCCTCTTTCCTGGGCCACCCCGGCACCAGGACCTGGAGGGGCCAGTCACTGCAGACCCCCCTGCTCAGACCTCCCCACCTAGCCCCATCAGGGCTCCAGCAGGAATCAGTATGCTCTCCTGCTCACCACCGCCAGTGGTTTTCCTAACACAGCCGCCTTCCCCCAGCTCTGGAAGCTCTTACTGAGAAGGCAGAACTGGTCTCTTTGTGTTAAATTGCACAGAGACTGGGAGCGTGCCATCCTTCCTGAGTTGCCTGGGACCTGGGTAGAAATGCTACTTGCCAGCCACAGCAAGACCCCCTTGGCCAACTAGATCCTGGTGGGACATTCTCCAACTATCCAGTCCTTGACCTTGACAGAGGCTTCCTCTTGCAGGGCTCTGAATTGTCCCTTGAGAGGGTTGTTCCTGCTGGTGGTTGTGCCAGCACTGTGGGGACCTAGGCTTTCCACCCTCGGCAAAGCCACCACGGACAGACGCAGTGCAGCTTCAGTGCAGAAACAAGGGCAGCCTTAGGATCTGCCCCTTGCCAGCACCCTGGACCGAGCCTTCGATGCCAGAGGATGGACGTCCTCAGCTTATATTTAAATGTATCTATTTATGTATCCATTCACTCAATAACACAATTTGGCCCTTTGCATCCAGTGCAGGGGGCGGATATAGGACCAAGTCGTGTGAGATAAAAGCAGTGCCCGCTGAGGCCAGAGAGGAGAGAACAATGAATTCTGAGCATTCGGCTCCCAGAGGTTCCTCACAGAGACACAGAAGGGCTGAGTAGGGAGGGGTGTCTAGAGGCTGGAAAAGTGGGTTGGGGTGAGAAGTCGTGGGCTGTGGGTGCTGCGCAGAGGATCTGGAAGATTTGGTGAATGGAAAGAGGATGTTGGAGATGCTGGGGAAAGAAGTGATGGGAACGGACTGCAGGGTGGATGATGATGATGGGATGGGGTGTGGGAAGACCGGTTTGGTGCAGAGAATGATTGAGCAGTTTAGGCGAGGCACGAGGGCCCACCTCCTGCCAGTTATTTGTTGTTCATTGTGAAGCCAAGTTCTGGCATCTAGTCTGTGGTTGGTTCCCCAGCAAAGCACACCTGGGAGAGGTCTCAGGGGCACGTGCCCTGAGGGACTCGGCCACTTCTCACTCCAGCTCTGCCTCCTGCTGGGACTGGCTTCCAGCCCAGCCCCTTCGTTTCCCTTTGTGTCACAAACCAGGCATCTTAACAAACTGTGCGGGGTCTGAAAGAAAAATAGGCAAGCCTATCAGTAACATTACGAGGTTCTATAGTTTCTTAGTACATGCCCAGTAGAAATTCTTTATAAAATTAGAAGTGGAAAATTGGAATCAATTACCCACATGTGGAGTTTAATTAAATGGTCTATTTTTAATCCCCAGTAATGTTCTGGGGGACTAGTCTAGCCTCTGAGCAGACTTTACTTCATGACGATTGGATGGTGTAGGGGAGACAGGAGAGTTGCTAGGCAGTGTCTTTATCCCTATTGGCTGGAAGGAGTCTTGTGACTCCCAGAGGGTTTGTTTTATCTGAGGCCAATGGGTGTGACTGTAGCCAAAGGGAGAAAATTTCCAGCTATAAAAAAACAGCAAATAGCCTTTACTTCAAGCCACTTTCATGTTGTGTTGTAGATACATCTCCAAGAAGTAACTTTAAAATATTGTTTCAACATCATTCTAGCCAGACAGAGTTGAGCCCCCAAAAATGACTCGGGGGTGGATGGTTAATTCTTCAATGCAATGCAAATGGGACTCTACCCACTGGCTCTATTTTGATGGCTTTTAGGACTTGATAAACTGGTAACTGGAAGGCCCTTCAGAAGACAGTCTAAGCTGAGACTTTCCATGAGAGGGTCTGGGAACCTCTGGAGATTATGCATTTCCAAGTGCACAGCTTCAAAAAGGGGTCCAATGATTTCATCAGATCCCCAGAGGAATCCGTGACCCCGCAAAAAGGATGAAAAGTTCTTGAGTAAGTCACCTCCTGCATTTTAAGATGGGGAGACCAAGACTCAGAGAGGGAAAGCCGCCTGCCTGAGGCCACGTAGCCAGTTCGTTCAGTTAGATCCAAGTGTCCAGGTTCCCAGCAGTGCACCCTTCACAGTGCGTATGAGACACTGCAGCTCTTAGGCTCGTCTGAAACGGTGCCCGAGCCCTCAGAGAAAACCCTTGGGACAAGGTGATAGCGACCCTCTGCCATGCTATCCTGCGCCAAGTGAACAGGGGTGTCCGGGATATTTCGGGCGCCCACGCTCACCCTCCTTCACCGTGTAACAGTGGGCCTGGAGCTTGGCATCACCGCGCCTTCCCCTTCCCCGTGATCCCATGGAAACGGTAGATGCGATGGTGGTTAAAGTCTCTCTCAGCATGGACAGCTGATGATTCTGGGAAGTGGAGTTCATTGCAATGATTCGTACCGTGGAGGGGCAGGTAAGAAACAAGGAGAGAGGAGAGAAAAACAGACCTTGGCCCCTGACTCTCCATAGAATCGCTCCCTTAGCAAATGTCAGCAAGTAGTTCAAGTTTGAATAGGAGTCCACTGAGACCGCCGTCCACCAGCTGCCTGTCATGTTCCTACCCACCCCACCTGGGTCCTTACCCCACCTGACCCCGTGCCTGCCAGCACCTGGCTATTCACGCCCAGCTGCCTGCCCCTCTCCAGCAGCATTACACTCCCTGCCTCCCCTTCCTCGAGCTGAAATGCTAGTAGTGGGCATCACTTATTGAATGATATTTAGGCAAGTGATTGGTTAACATCTCATTTGGAAAAACGTGCTAAACTAACCCCCCAAAAAGTGTTGCAAGGACAAAAATAGTATCTAGAACACTTGAATACACCTCTTTTTTAAACACATTGCCCCATTTGTTTTATTTGCTATCTCTATTTTTAAAAAGATTTTATTTATTTATTTTTAGAGAGAGGAAGGGAGGGAGAAAGAGGGAGAGAAACATCCATATGCAAGAGATACATCAACAGGTTGCCCCGCACATACCCCTAACTAGGAACCTGGCCTGCAACCCAGGCATGTGCCCTGACTGGGAATCGAACCAGCAACCCCCTGGTTTGCAGGCCGGCGCTCAGTCTACTGAGCCACACCAGCCAGGGCTCTATTTTTTTTATCATATACACATAGTATGTGTTTCTGGGCCATGTGAGAGGAAGTTGATACTACTGTGCCCTTTGCTGTCGGAACTTGAGAACGAGGTAACTGAAGACCCACCAGAAGAGCATCACTCCAAGGGTCTGTGACCTCTGGACATACCATACAGCAAAGAATGTGTGCGTTGTGTTGCTTCAAAGTGCGGGGTGTCCAGGATATCACCAGGTTCTCCAAAGAACCCGTGATTCTCCCTCAAAATCCAAGGATAGGAAGCTGTAAGGTAAACCAGCCCCTTCACTGTAAGGCAGAGAGCCCAGGAAAACCAGAAATACTTCAGTGTGTAGGCCCCAGAGTGAGGAGATTCTCCTGTAACACTGCACACAGTTATCTGCATCAGCATATTTAACTTGGATGCAATATTTTAATTTAATCTACTGTCTGTTCCAATTTTGTCAGCTGATGGAATAATATCCTTTCTAGCCTCTCCCCTCCAGGACAGGGTCCAGCCTAGGACCGAATGTTGCATTTGCTTGTCTTGTCTCTTTAGTCTCCTGGGATCTGATCCTTCCCCCAGCCTTTCCTTGACGTAGATACCATTGAAATTTTGGATAACTCTCATCCCTTTTTAGTAGAACTGTCTCATCTTGTGTGTGTTCCACATCTTCTATTGCTTAGACGGAGGCCGTGCATTCCCGGACAGATGCTGCACTCGTGAGGTTGCATCCCTCTCTGGGCATCACATCCAGGACACCATGCTCTCTCCGGTGACAGGGGCCTTTTATTTAGGAGGGGACCCCAGGAAACACTGGTAGGGGAGTGGACAGTGAGAAAGGAAGTGCTGGCTGAGCCCAAAGGTATTCGAAGAAGAAACAAAATTAACTTCTACTCCTAGGCAGGCCAGATAGAGCATGATGGAAGGCTGGGGGTGCCACCTCGGGCCACCTCTGTGAGGAGAGAGCATCTGCTTCCAAGAGGAACTAGTCCCTGAGACTCAGAGCAGCTGATCTCTTTCCACCTGCCACCAGGGGGGACCCTCTGCTGCCCTTTCCTTACCCCACCAGCTTAGGAAGCCCTGCCTCATAGCTTCTTAGAGCTAAAAGTAACTCTAGGGTCACCAGACCCAACCCACCCATTTTACAGAGTGGACACAGAGGCCCTGGGAGGGGACTTAATGTGGCAAGTCACACAGCCAGAGGTGGCAAAGCCGAGACTGTTGATCCAGTGCCCTCAGCCCTGCCCCTGCCCCTTGCCCAGCACCTGCCTCCCCCAGCATTTCACATCTACCCAAGGGGCACCTCCAGGGACACAGTGTCGGTTAAAAACAGAATGAAAGTAAGGGACGCCGCTGGCTGTCTCCAAGGGCCCAGTGGATCATTCGCTGTCGAAGCAACCGTGGCTGGGGCCGTGCGGAGCCCAGCCCTGCCTCTGCGCAGCCTGCTGTAGATGACACACGGAGGAGAACGTGTGACCGTGTAACTCACCTTTGCTGTGAGGGGGAGGGAGCCGGGGAAAAGGGAACAAATGTGGGCGCCCTGAGCTAAAATTAGCCAGCCTTGCTGTTCCATAGGCTTCCACTCTGCTCAGCCAATGACTCAGCAGTTTCACCCGGAAACCCCACCCCAACTCTGAGAGAAACATTAAACAATATTAAGAAGAGATGTTGTGGCTTCTCTGGTTCATCAGGGCAGGTCTAATCTCAAAGCCTGCTGGGGCTGACCTTGGGATGTGGGAGGAGGCGAAAGGGTCCCCCAGGCGAGGGGTGGCAAGGGTGAGGGTCACATCCCCTGGGGCCACTGCCAAGTCAGAAGTCAGGAGGGGCAGTTGTTGGGCTCTGGGGCAGCATTTCTCCATGCCTGCCATGTGCCCAACGTTGTTCTAGCTCAATGGAGACAGTAGTCACCAAGACAGATGCTCATGTGGGCCTGGGAGGGTGGGAAGAGGGGAGGTAGGAAGGCACACCACAAATAAGTCAAGAAGGAAATATACAGGATGAGCAGATCTTGTGATAAGTCCTAGGAAGGAAGAGGAGTAACTATACGTGGGGGCACAGGGGTGCCGAATTTGAATAGGTTTCTGAGGTTGCAATGGGTTTGTCAACATTTGGTTGCTCTTCCAGTCTCCTTGCTGGTAGGGGGAGGCAGGGCCGAAGTTCTGGTCATTGGAGTGCAGCTGAAGGGACTGGAGCCACTGCAGGACCAGTCGCAAACACCCCCTGCCTGATCCTCTGCAGTGCCCGTCCCCTGCCCTGCAAGTTGCATATGGGTGCAAGGAATACACAAAGTCCTAAGGCAGAGTTTAGTCAACTACTTCTGGCCCCATGCCTGTTATTGTAAGTAAAGTTTTATTGAAACACCGCCAGGCCCACTCATTCAGATATTGTCTAGGGAGCTTTGGGGCTGCAGCAGTAGAGCTGAGCTGTGCCCCAGAGACTGCTATGGCCTTCACGACGCCCTAAGAGCAATGGAGCCACAAGATGAAAGCAGCTGTGTCCTGAACTCTGCATGCTGGTCACCCACATCAGTGGATTCAATGAGCAAGAGAAAAACATCTCTGTGCAAGTCACTGAAATTGGGGGGTTGTGTACCATAGCAGTTGGTTCACCCTTCCACCCTGCACCCCACAAAGTGCTCATTTCCTGTAGAAGCTTCCAAAGATGTCCTTGGGCCAGACATTCCCTGGCCACTAGCCCCGGTGGCGTGAGGAGCCTGGCTCTCCATCTTCCTTGGCTGGCTCTGGGGATCTGCCACTCTGGAAACAAGAATCTGCACCCAAAGTGCAAAAGCAAATCCCTGTGGAGAAAATGTGCACCAAACCCATTACCACCTCGCCCAGAGCAGGGCCAACGTCCACACAGGAGTTCTTCTCAGCAGATACCTACTCTAGCCAATGAAATAGTCCCTTCTCATGATGATCCTGCACAGTTGTTTAGTCCTATAAGCCTGTGTGCAAGTCGCCAGCCTCCGCTCCCAGCCCATTCCGGCCTTCAGGGCAGGGCCTGGCGCACAGCAGGAGGGGAGCAAAAGCCAGCACCCCTCCCTTCCCAGGAAGGTTCCCTTCCCCTCATTTTGCCAAGCGCCCCATGAGTGCCAGCCGCCCTGTCAGCCCCAGTATGGTCCACAAGGAGGCCGGGCCTGCCTCCCGATGAGCTTCTCAGGTGCATACACAAGTGCTTGCCTTTACCTAACTCCTGTGTCAGAGCTAAAAACCCTGGGATCTTTAGAAAGCAAGTAACCAACCCCAGGCTCACCCTGGAGACCACCAGGATAAGCCAGCAGGAAAATCCAGAGTCAGAGGAGGGTGCTAGGCATGGGGGATGCTGTGGAAAGCAACTGGGGTATCAACGATGTGGCCTACTGGGCTGCCAGGTGACAGCAGGGACAGCAGGGAATGCTGATTTTTTCCCCACACTTATTCTTCATTCATTCATCAACAAGTCTTTATTGTGCCAGGCCCCATCCCAGGCACTGGGGGCTCAGCAGGGAACAAAACAAACTAGGAATGAAGCAGGGTGTCGGGTAGGATTGCCAGAGAGGGTTGCAATTTTGTAAAGAGTGACCTGGAAGACCTTTCTAAGTCATGGCATTTGCGTTAATCCTGAAAGAGTGAAGGGAGCAAGGCATGTGGATCGCTGGGGCAAATGCTTTGGGGAAGAAGGAACAGCAAGCGCAAAGGTCCCGAGGCAGGAACGTGTTTGGTTCTTCAGAGGACGGCCTGAGGTACACTGCCTCTGGAGTAGGGGAACTAATGGAGTGGAGGTGAGGTCAGGGACCAATAGGAGACGGAGCGCAGGACTCCCTGGTGTGATGCTGGACAGGCAGACTGTGTGGGGCCTGCTTGTTGCTCCCCTTCTTGCTGTGGGATGCTCCCTGCATTGCCCGGTCCTGCCTCAAGGGGTAGAGCTGGTTGGTCCTCCCAGTTCTGTGTGGGAGAGACCATCAACCACTGCCCATATCATCCCCACCTGCATCCTTTTAGTAATAGAGCCCACCCAAATTGTAGCTGGGTACCCGGTTCTCAGCCACTGCTGCAGCTAGGCATGGGGTGTAACTAAGTTTGGACCCATGGGCGTGTGAGCACAGAGATGTGGGGAAGCTGTGGGTCGTGTCCTTCAAGAGGAGGCCACCTTCTCCTGACGTGAGGATGGTGGACAGTCATGTAAGGACTGGTCACCTCTGGACTACCATGAGGAATGAGCTCTGACAAAAGCCACAGCATGTGGCTCTGTCACAGCAGCTTAGCATGTACCCAATGTTTTTTTTGTTGTTGTTGTTGTTTTTTTTTTTTTTATTTATTCAACAGAGAGAGAGAGGGAGAGAGGGGGAGAGAGAGATTGGGAGAGAGAAACATCAATGTGCGGTTGCTGGGGGTTATGGCCTGCAACCCAAGCATTGTACCCTGGCTGGGAATCGAACCTGCGACACTTTAGTTCGCAGCCCATGCTCAATCCACTGAGCTACGCCAGCCAGGGCCATGTACCCAATGTTTTTAAAAGTGTTGTCCCACCACTGAATCATGGAGCAGAGTGACAACTGACGGAGCAGACCCTCTTTCTCTAGACTCTCACTAGGTTTCCTCCAGGTCTTACAGACTGCTCCCACAGGGCAGAGGAGAAAAGGGCCACAACAAAATGGAAATTCTCAGAATGGTCCCTAAAACCCTATTTTAGAACAGGGTCACTCCGTTCTCCCTCTAACTCCCTCCAGTAAAGAGGAGGCTGTAAATCACGAATTTCCCGTTCACTGCGTGTCTGCCGGGCATCTCCTGTGCGGCAGACCCCACAGGAGGGAAAGGAGACAGACAGACACTGGGCCTGCCTCTGGGAGCTGAGAGGGGGCGGGACTGACGGCGGTCACTGACTGAGGACTGCCAATGGCCAGGAACAGTGCTCCACCCACTGACCAGTTAGTTCATCTGTTCCCAAATCTGTGCCTCTGTGACCAACTCACATTTGCTGGATGGGAAACCTCGGCTTGGAAAGGTGAAGTGGCCCCTGGGGCAGCTAGGTCCACAGTTCTGTTCAGCAGTGAAGACCACACATGGCAGAGGGACAGCACGGTGCAGGGGGTGCCCTGGGCCCCAGAGAGATCCTCAGAGCCCAGAGCTGCAGGGAACCTAACAGCAACCGAACGGGCTTCCTGGAGGAAGCAGCATCTGAGCTGTGCCCAGCTAGACCACATCCCCTCCTGATTTAAGTGCGCCAGGGTTGGCGAAACTTCCCCCAGAGGGGATCCGGCCAAGAAGACGTCAGCGGACTCACCACTTCAAAGGTGGGGTTGTCATCACTGGGCAGTAACAAGCTGAGTCAAGGGGCCTGAGCGAGAACTGTGCGAGGAGGACTGTCGGGAGGGAAGGACTGGACGGGCAGATTTACGCGATGTGGGCACAAATACTACTTACTGGCATAACCCAGCGGAGTTTATGTCACTTTGAATAACTTGTTTACCCAGTGATTATGTGACTAATGAGCACCGAGAGGCTCGTTGCATAAAACTGCAGTTGGAGTGGCCGGTGTGTCTCTAGACTTGGTGGTTGTAGTCACCAGCGAAGCACAAAAAATAAATCAACTTAAATTATCTCCTGAGGAAAACAGTGTGTAATAAATGGGCTAACTAATAGGCTTGGGCATTTTAAGAATCCTCTCCATCCCTAAAAAATAACCACCACAAAAAACCATTTCAACATTGGCCTTAGAAGTTGTTTAAAAAGAAAATAGCAACCTAACAGTAAATAACTGTTTCTCAAACAAAGTCAGTGCTCACTGGCTTTGGAGACCCTCCCTCCTGGTTCAAACTTCCCTCCCTCTGATCCTTCCCTGGGCACATTCCTGAACACCTGTCTGGCACCTGCCCTCCCACCAGCCACTTTCTCACCCCGAGCATCTCCCACCTTCGGCGGCTGTTAGGTGAGAACATCGAAGCCAGGAGGGAGGTTAGGAACCATACCATCCAGTTCTCATTTTATGAAAGGGGTTGGGAATTTTGTCCAAGGTCACAGAAGCCAATCTGGCAGCAGCCTGGCAGTGGGTGGGGCTGAAGGGCTGGGAAGCAGAGCCCACATGGGACCTGCAGCTCCCTGGCCCCACGAGCTCTCCTGGAAGTTAGCGACTTCCCCTGTGAGGGCCCTCACCTGTGAAACCTGTCCACGCCTCCCTCCCAGCTTCTGGTGACTCCAGGCATTCCTGGGCTTTGGCAGCACTGTGTCCATCTCCGCCTCCCTCTTCACAAGTTCCTCTGCGTGTCTGTGTGTCTCCGCTTCCAAGGGCCCCAGTCACTGGATTCACGGCACACCCAAACCCAGTGTGACTTCATCTTGATTGCATCTGCAAAACCTCATTTCTAAGTAGGTCGCTTTTACAGGTTCCAGGTAAACGTGAATCGTGGGAGACACTCACCATTCACCCCAGCACAGCTGCGGGGTTCCAGGCCCTACTTGCCAAAACCCAGAGGACGTTAAGGGCAGGGACTGGGCCTGCTGTCGGCCCCGGGCCCCACCTCTCCTCCTGACGGAGGACTACAGTGCTCCCACCATGCAGGCACCCTTCCACACGGGATGCTCACCCCACGGAGCTTCCTCAACCAGAGATGGGGGGCCCAGAGTAGGCACCTGCCTTCCCTACCACCTGTCCCAGGTCGAGCCCTGGGAAAGGAAGGGAGGCTGGAGCCCCACACCCGCTGCCAACAGCCTGGACCCAACACGACACAGCCTCAGCCTCCCCTGGAACGTGCAGCACTGCAATGAGGAGGACATCCGGCCAAGAGCTGGCCATGGCTGGGCTTCTCTCTCCACCAACAAGGGGCTCCAGGCTACCCCTCCCCACAAAACAGCCAAGACCACATAGAAGGACCACAGTGTCTTTATTTGAGCCCAGATCTGCAGCAGCCCCCATCCCTCCATAATGCCAGGCAGGCCCCTCCCTCCAATTCCAACCTCACCCTGTGCACCCACCATTCTCTCCCAACCCCCTTGCCCCCCTCCCCAGAAACGGCCCTCCTCTAGTGGGGTCCAGCTCAGCTCAGGGCCGTCAGTCCTCTGGAGGTCTCTTTTAGTTTCTGAATTTGCCCACCAATGGCTTCGAGGGCCAAGCCCCCAGGCCCTGCTGTTCCAGGAGGAAAGACAGCTGCTGGCGAACCTCCTGGTAGGGACCAGCCTAGGGAAGGGGATGAGAAGGGGTGAAGAGAGGGTGTCTGCTGGGGGAGCAGGAGAAAGAGGACAGGAGGGGAGGGAAGGAGCTGACCTTGGCCTCCTCGTAGGTCTTCAAGGCCAGGAGGTGGGACTTCCCCAGAGCGTGGGTAGCCTGGCGGAAGGCCCGGAAAAAGGCCGCCTTGCAGAGGCGGGAGGGAGGCCCGAGGGCAGCACTGGAGATGGAGGGAAAGGACACGAAGATCAGAGGAGGGAGGAGGCGGCCTGAACTAACATGTCTGCACCACACCCCCCACGCAGGCCATGATGATCTCAGGGGTGTCATGGGGGGTCACGGTGTGGGTGACAGAAGCACTGGCCGTGGTCACATCGATGTAAGAGGCAGAGCTGGGATTGGAACCCAGGCTGGTGACTACACGCATGCTCTTACCCCACGGGCAGGGAGATGGGGCCCCTCACCACCAGGCCCCGCCATCGTCCTCCCACAGGCCCTTCTCACTCGGCTTTCACACGCCCGGTAGTCACATCCACAACCTCGACGTCGGCGTCCCCCAGGCTCCAGTTGAGGCTCACGTCATGGCAGCTGTTGGAGGTGGGGTCTGAAGGAGCCACAGGGGGGCCCGAAAACAGGTGTAGCATGGTACGGGCGTAGGGAGGGGGCAGGCATGACCCCAAGGCCCTGTCTAGGTTGGGCCGGGTATGGATGGCACTGCTCAGCGTGGGGGGGTCGTGGCAGGGGTCAGCTGTGGAAGGAGTAAAACAAGGTCTGAGTCACCACCCTCTCCTGCAGACCACCCAGAGCCTGCCTTCCACCCTCACGCCCCTCAGGGCCCTCACCCAGGACAAGGCTGGTGGCGTAGAGGGGAGGCAAGAAGTGAGCCAATAGGGCACCACCCAGCCCCAGCACAGTCCAGCGCGACAGCTTGTCGCTGGCTGAGAGGCAGCCCACGTGGGTGTCCCGGATTGTGGGGGACACGAAGCACACGGGCTTCAGCTCCCCCCGGATGTGGGCCTGCAGGCGGAAGGGGGCGCCGTGCAGGAGACGACCCTCTGAGGATGGTGGCGGGAGGCTGCAGAGGCAGGGGAAGAGGCAGGACCTTGGACACCGGAGCCAGGGCCGCTCTTCTGACCCCACCTGACACCGCCCTTCCCGATCCATCACACCAAGGGACCCCGCAGGGGCTCCCCGCATACTAGATATCATGAGCAGCTCCCTTGGGAGTGTTGCTGATGTAGAAATGTATGAAGATCCGGGGCTTGAGGACAAAGGGGAACCCAGGCCCAGGCTGGGGGGCCAGCACAGACTGCTCCCTGCCCTTGGGGCCACCCTGTGTTGCCAGCAAGAGCTGCCGGTACAAGAATCTGGGAGAGACAGGGAGGGAGCAACTGGGAGATGCCGCGTCCTGAGCAGGGCTGCCACAAAGCACCCACCCACCCCACCCTTCACCTCAGCAGGGCCCGGCGCGCAACCACCAGGCCATGGCAGTCATGGAGCTGCCGGCCTGAGAACTCCAGCCAGCCAGCACAGCTGCTGTTGCCTGTGCCCAGAGCTACCAGGTTGTAGATCTCCTTGGCATGGCCCCTGGCACCTGGGACCTCTGCAAGGGGAGAAAGCAGACACAGTGGCCTAAGTAAGGCATGGGACCAACAGGGGCCTCCCAAGGTGGGGGAAGGTGTTGGCACAGCAACTCCTACCTCTCTCCAGGATGACGGCAGCCACAGTCCCCTTACAGGCCCGGTACGGTGAGGTTTCACTCACCAGGCGGTCAAAGCCAGCACTGACCACAGCTGCGCAGCGCTGCTCGTGGGTCAGGATGTTCTCTGCATATGAGGAGAGGGCAGAGGTGGGGGCCCCACAGGCCATGCCCCTCCTCTCGCCACAGGTGTCAGGTCCACAGGGGCCCACCTACCTACATTCAGATCGCCGAGTGGAGGTCTACTGGGCGTCTTTGGGGGCTCTGGAAGAGAGTTAAGGGTGAGGGTCGCCATGGATGCTAGGGTCTGCCCTCCTGTCTTTTGTCCTTCAGGAAACCAAGAGGTTCCATGGTTAAGTGGGGTCATCTTCCAGAAACCAGTTCCTGGCTGCCCCTCTAGCAGTCCCTGCCCCAAAGACGGGCAGGCTTCAAAGGACATTAGTGCAAGGGTCAGCCCACACCCCCCTCCCTAGCTCCCCGCAGGCCCGATCCTGATGCCCAGACAGTCTCTGCAGCAACCCACCCTGCCCACATATAGGCACACAGGGCTTCGGCCCCAGCTCGGGCTTAGTCACCTGGGTTACCTGGTCCTTTACCTGGGCTCTCCATCTGACTCTGGATGTACTTGAGGGCAAAGAGAGCTGCTTGCTGTTTGGCCTCCTTCTTGCTGTTGGCAGTGCCCGCAGGGCAGGCTACCCCATCCAGTTCTGCCCACACAGAGAAGGGGCAGCAGGGGTCTAGGGAAGGAGGGGGAGCGAAGTGGTGCCCTGCACTTCATGTCCGTCATGGCCCGCCCTCTCTGGGAGGGCCACGGCGGCTGTCCCACCTGAGCCACGGCAGCTCAGCTGCGTTTCCTCCCGCCCTCTGACGCCCGGGGAGGCCAGAATGATGGGCACAGGGACTGCTGACTCCTGCCCCAGGCCCAGCACGGGCCTTGCTGTACTGGGCCATCACCACCCGGAGAATCCTCACAAACCCCTCTGAAACAGGACGGTAAGACCCCCTTTTACCAGAGGCTACACAAAGGGCAAGCAGTGTGCCCCGGTGGTGCCAGGACCCAAATCCCGGGCTGTGCTGTTCTCAGGATCATGGCCCTGAGCACACGGCACCCGCTGCCTTTCCACAGGCACTCCACGCCTCTGTTTCTCTTCTGCGTCTGAAAGTTTCGAATACCACGCATTATCTTTTCAGGTGTTACTTATGACACGAAACACGAAGATCCTGGAATGGGAATCACGTGGTCAAAGGGCATAAACTTGGTTCAGTTCATGGTAATTGCTGGTACTTGCTGCTAAACTGTTTCCCAAAAGGACTGCCCTTTTAGAAGAGAACCCCCATCTCAGCACTGCTCACTAGCACCCAGATTCACGCACTCTAAAAGGGCATCAAGAACGCAGCTGGTGGATACAGAAGGAAAACTGCTATCAAAAAACCAACATGCGGCAGCCAGTGCAGTAGTAACAGAATCTGGCAACAACCATCAAAACAAACCACCAAACCAACAAAACCAGCTGATGGCGTTAGGGGTAACATGATGCTCACACCACCTCCAGATGCCACCTCCCCCCATGATGGACTAAGCACAAAGGGGAAGTACAGACACCTGTTGCAGCTACTCCAGTCAGGCCCCCCCAGCGGATACTGCCAGTGGTAGGACAGGAGGATCACAGGCGTCCTGGGGATTTACGGCCCACATGCGCCTGCCGACAATGCGCATCTTGAACCCAAGTCTGAGGAAAGAGACCAACCCCAGTGCAAGGACATCCTACAAAATGACCAGTTGCAACTCCTCAAAAACACCAATGTCCTGAAGACAAAGACAGACTGAGGAACTATTTCAGATAAACAAGGAGTAAAGAGGCATGACAGCTAAATATGACAGTTTGTGCTGGTTTGGAAAAAAAAGTGGCCATTGTTGGGACAACTGGCAAAATCTGAATGTGAATGGTAATTGGGTAATGATATTATGTCGATGTAAAATTTTCAGATTGTTCAAAAAATCAACGTAGATATTCATATATAAATAAATACATAGAATGGGCAGAGAGACATACACAAAGCAAAGGTGGCAAATGTTAAATGAAGAGTTTGGGTGAAGAGTTTATGGGAGTTCTTTCATACTATTTAATTATGTCAAAATTTTTTTAAAAAATGAATACAAACCATACCTACCCATGTAAACAGTGGACGGGGTACCTTAAGCAGAAGAGGGGGTCTGCCTCAGATCCCAGGCTCAGGCCCAGCTCATGGATCCCCCTCTGGATCTGGGGTTAGCCTGGGACGCGCTGCCGCCCCGGGCCACTAGACCTCACCTGCCATCTGGTCCTCTCGGAAGATCAGGGAGACTCCTAGACTGGCGGTGTACTGTGCGAGCGAGGCCACAGCCCGGTCAGGCGGCAGATCTTTGAGTTGCAGGCCCAGCTGTCTGGCCGCCTTTGGGAAGTCCCCAGCGGGCCCTGTAGGTGGGACAGAGACCCTCGGGGACCTTCCCATCTGTCCCTCTAAGTCTTCCGATGCCTGAGCTGTCCCCAGTACTCCAACTACGGCCCTCACCAAGGACCCACCGTCCCCCACAGCTGAGGCCAGGGCCTGCCCACCCCCCTCACTGTCCACGCTGGGGACAGGCCGAGGCTGCCTGGGATCTTGGCCAGGGTTGGCAGAAGGACGCCTTGGACTAATCTGCAATGAAGCCGCCAGGCGGGGCTTCCTGCGGCCACCGTCGTCGGCTCCTGGGCCGGTGCTGGCAGACGAAGCCATGGCCGCACGCAAAGGCCAGATAGAACAGCGGCTGATTTCACGGCGCGGCGCGTGCCGTTTTACACCAGCCACCCAGCACCCACGTGGAGAGCACGTGGTGCAGCGTAGAGTGCGTAGTGAACTCAGCCCGCCCCCTCCCCCCACATGCCATTGGCCAATGAGAGCCCGTAGAGCTGTGGCAGACAGTGCTTTCGACCAACGGGATGGCCAGTCTTCTGGACAGCCACCGCCTAGCTGTGGACAGAGTGGTCACCTGGCCCATATCCTGCTTTCCCGACAGAGGTTGGGGGTGGGGATCGTATGAGGGAACTCCGCCCTGTGGTGGTCCCGGGGAAGCAAAGACTAGGGAAGAAGTCTGGGGACTCCAAATCCAACATCGTACCTTCCTGCTGCTCAAAAATTCCCTGAAACCACAGCCATCCCAGCAGCCTACCCGAGTTACTTAGCTGTGTCTGGAGATCTCATCAGGTAAGTGAAGGTGTTCTAAATGGAAGCAGCCCCACAGCATCTTTAGGATCTACATTTTAAAACCATAAACTGGGCCCTGGCTGGCTAGCTCAGTTGCTTAGAGCATCACTCTGATACACCATGGTTGTGGGTTCAACCCCCAGTCAGGGCACATGTGAACAAATAAGTGGAACAATAAGTTTCTCTCTCTCTCTCTCAAAGATACCGTGGAGAAAAACCTGTAAACTCTATGCCTTCCTGAAGCCAACCAGAAGTGCTGTCTAGTCAAAACTAAACACTTGGTACCCTGCTCTTTTCCTCCTCAAAAAGGATTTTGACTTGGCTCATAAAAATACTACAACACAAATCCTTTAAGATGAGAGACGAAGGATGAAGGAGAAATAACAAAAATAAGGTGAAACTAGGGATGAAGACAATCTACATGTGGCCTGCTATGCTGCAATACATAAGTGCTTGAAGGGGGCCGAAAGTTGGAGTCGTATAGCGGCCTATTTCTGGCCCCTGGGAACCGCCTCCACTCCCATTCCCCCTCCACCCGGGAGGTGGCGCTGTAGGGCGCCCGTGAGGTCGGCCTGGGAGGCGGGACCTTTTGCCTTCCCGGGAGCTCTTCCGTCCCAGCCCGGAAGTCTGTTAACTGCTATTGTGGGTGTGATCCACGAGGGTTGGCGCAGCTAGGGTGCTGCTTTGGGGCTCCTGTCACGAGGGTCGGACAAGCGTCCTGCGGAGGTACATGTTCTAGACGGGCACGGCGAGGCCTGGGCCACGTAAGTGCTTGTGCCGCCTGGAGGGCAGGCGGAAGGATGCAGGGGGAGAGCTCGGTTCTGCTCTCCGCGTGGGTCCTGCGGTCCCAAGCTGTATGGCTTTGGGACAAGTCACCCGACACCTGCAAAGTGAGTTATAAGCCTCTAGCTCGTGGAGTGGTGAGCGTCCTACAAATAAGAAGTGTGGCAGCAGGTGTCTGGTATGCAGCGCTTGATGAGAGTCCTCTGCTGCTAAAATTCTGGGACCTGGAGGTGGAGTAGGAAGAGGAGCGTAGGGGGGACTTCGCCGAGTAGGTGTATGAGGGGAGGGACCGTCCAGATCCCCTGGCCCATCCGCTGCGACAAGTTCACTTTTTGCCGTGTTCCTCATGGCAGTAGTGTACCCTTGGAGGTCTGAAGAGATCTGAGGAGCCACAGGTGAGGTTGGGAAGTTGAGGCTGCCTTGTCTTGGGGCTTTATCTGAGGTTGTAGGCTCCGCCAGTACTCTCAAACTGTCTGGGTTTGTTTGAGTCCGTTAGGTTCCTGTGTCTTCATTTTGTCCTGGATTTGTTCCTTCAGCTTACTTGTACTGACTGTTATGATGTAGCAAATACCAAGGCACTAGGGATAAATCAGGTACTTTTCCCACGGGGACTATTGCAGCAGCTTTTAATCAAATAGCTTCATCTTTAACTATGCAGTTACACATTGCCTGCGTGTTTTGGAGGAAGCATGCAAGGTGTGGTGGGAGGATAGGGTTGGGGAACTGAGAGAGGCTTCCTGATTGAAAGCTGGAGGAGGAGGAGGAGGATTTTGTAGGTGGATAGGAAGAAGGGCCTTGGCACTCATTCGAAGAAGAGAGAGTGTGCACCGACCCTGTGGTGAAAAGCATGGTGAGGAAGAATTTAGAGGAGGTCAGTGTGATTGGAGCCCAGGAACAAGAGACAAACTGGAAACTTTTGTGTGTGCATGCTGGTTTATCAGGGATGCAACCCACTCCAGGAGGCTTGGTTGCTCCTAAACTTGCACTCGGTACAGTCAGTCCTATGCAAGCTGGCATTTTTTCACAGGGACTCACTGAGCACCCCCGGATTCTTGCCACTGCCCTCCCTGGCTGTGGAAAAAATGACAGCAGCAGCCGGACACCCGTAGCTCAGGAATGAATCAGATACAGTCCTGGCCCTCAGAGAGCTTGCACCTGGTGGGAGAGATAAGTCTGTGCACATAAGCCACAGATAGAATGAGGCTGACGTGCTGGAGAAATATACTGATTCATTTGACATGCATTCACTGTGTGATGGGTATTATGCACAGCCATGAGGGTACATGGATGTACGGAGCTTACAGAATAAACTGATAAAATGCAGTGGCCGTGCCAAGGGGAAAGACTTGTGCTTGCTAAGACCCTACTGCGAGTGTTTCCTTTTGGATGCACCTGAGAGTAGTGGTGCAGGATGTGGACTTTGAATCAGACAGGGGATCAAGCTGTTGGCCTCGGGCAAGTGGCTCTTTCCTGAGCTTCAGTTTCCTGAACCCAAATTCGGAGAACAGGAGAACAGAACATGCAGTACCGTGCCTGGCAGGTGTGTGTTTGCACTCAGTGAGTGAGCACTGCTATTATTTTTGCTGTTAATAAAATAAAAAAGGATAATGTGGCTACTTATACTTCTAGAGCACTTTGTAGTAGGCAAAACCCTTTCACTAAATTTATTTTTATTCAACACAGTGCATTTTCTGGAAGATGCTATACTCAACAGACAAGACTCAGTCCTGGCTTTGGGGAACTTGAGTTTGTATTGAGCATGTAGGCTGGAGTGTAGGGCCTGTGCAGTCTATAAAATATGTAATCATAATATCTGAGAGTAATGATAGAGGCCGGCCCCTCGCCACCTGTCTGAGTTCATTCGCCATCACTCTCCTCCTTGCTCGTTCTATGGCCTAGTTGTTTCTTAAACACTTCCTGCCCCAGGACTTTTGCATTTGCTATTCATTCTGCCAGGAACCCTCTTCCTAGTTGTCTCTGGTTCTCTGCCTCATTAGGTTCAGGCTGTGCCCAATGTCACCTTCTCAACGAGGCTTTCCCTAGCTATTCGGGAAACCACACCCTTGGTCCACTGCCATCCCCTCCCTCATGGATGGTTAGTTGGTTTTAACATGGCAGGAGGCTGTGTATTCATCTGTTCTTTATTAATTCCTTTCTCAAAGAAAGTGTACTGCTCTGAGGGCACATCTTTCCCAGGAGCTCTGGGGGCCATTGGTCAGGTTCAGGCCTTTGGAAGGCCAGTGTAATGCGCCGGTCTTGTTTTCTAGGATGGACTTCCCCAGCTCCCTCCGTCCCACGCTGTTTATGACAGGCCCCCTTGGACTGAGTGATGTCCCTGACATGTCCTTCATGTGCAGCTGGAGAGATGCACTGACCCTTCCAGAGTCCCTGCCCCAGACCTCCAAGGTGAGTATGGTGGGGAGAACCCTGGAGGTTCTGGGGTGGGCACCTTCACTGTTTTCTAGCATTGACACCAGCTGGCAGGAGTACAGAGTGGTATATCTGCTAAGACATGGGGTGAGCCAGAATCCCCTCCTTTGGGGTCCATGGGATGACCTACCACCCACAGAGGGTCCACTGAGTGGGAACAGGCTGGCTCGCTCTTCCTGCCTCTCTCCCCTCTGTTTGTTCAAAAGATACTCACTGAACAGCCCCTACAGTGCACCAGATACCTCATTAGGCCCTGGGAATCCAACGTAAACAAGTCGGATACCATCCCTGCCCTTGCGGAACTTAGATTGAGTAGGAATAGACAAGTGAGCAGCCCCAGAGACAAAATCATTACAAAGTGGGATAATAGCTTCGAGCAAAACCAGAAGTATGCTGTAAGACACGGTGGGGATGAGGTGGGGAGGGGCGGGAGACCTCCTGGGGTGGGAAGGACATCAGCTCTTTCCCTAGAAGCCTAAGCCATCGGGCTGCTCCTCGGAGACAGACTGGCTAAGGGCTCCTGCAGGCAGAGACAAATGGGTGAGAGCATTAAAAGAGACGGTGGGGTGAGGGAGGGGAGCCGTGGGCTTCCTTGATGAGGAAGGGCTGAAGTCAGATTAGCCCTTCAGGGAGCATGGCTTGCCAGCCCTTCCATCCCCTGCGGGTGTGAGCTGCGCCATCTCCGGCCCTGTGGTGGGAAGTGGGGTGGCCTGTGGCTGCCCTGAGTAAGTGATCACGGGGTCTTGAGTAGAAGTGAGAGTCAGGTAGGATTTGGGGTGGCTGATCATGGTGCAGGGGCTCCTTTGAGAGCCAGTGCAGCCTGGAGGTAAAAAATGTGGACCAGCTGTCACCTGGGACAAGTGACAGCCTCCCTGTGCCCCCATCTTTTCATTAGTAAAGTGACGATGATCATCAGACCGACTCGGCGGGTTCCTTGTGAGGATCGAACGCATCAATAAAAGACAAGTGCTGGTGACAGCGCCTGTCCCGGGAGTATGCTCACTGTGACATTGTGTCCATGGTTGTGTTTCTGCAGAATGGGACACCACATTTGGCCAAGGGCCTGCTCTGGGAGCCGGACACTCCTGGGCCCCTTCCCTTGCTGCCTCCTGGTCCCGGTAAGGGTTTTGGTCCTGGGGGGACCCCTTCCAAGCTGCTCCCCCATTGCTTCTCTCCTCCACCCTTCCCTGAGACCTTCCCTCTCCCTGCTAATGTCCTCCATCCCCAGGGTCCTTGGGTCCCTCCAGTCACCTGGGATACATGACCCCACTTCTGGGCTCTTCCTGGTCCCTGGGACAGACTCCTTCCCCAACTGCACTCGTCCTTCAGATCCCTGGGACCCTGGCCTGACTGCCCAGGACCTGCTTTGCCGGGGAGGTCCCAAGTTCCGGAGACAGCCCAAAGCTGTGCTGGATGTTACTGAGCAGGTGAGTGGCCCCACAATGGACAGTGCCGTGTGGCGGGGGCTGTGCTTAGTGAGCTGGTGTCCTCTCCTCCCACAGTTCAGCCGGTTCCTGTGGGACCATGGGGACATAGCCTTTGCACCCCTGGGGAAACTGATGCTGGAGAATTTCAAGCTGGAGGGAGCACGGGTGAGTGACCCTGGTCAGCCAGGAGAGGGGCTCCCAGTTCACATCCGGGTGAGCTTGAGGGTGTGCGTGCTTGACAAGGCCTTTCCATGCAGAGCTACTCTAAGAAGAAGACAGTGGTCAGTGTGCAGAGGATACTCCAGGACCTCGGTGGACACCAGCCCTGGGGGCAAGTGGCTAATGAGAAAGGATGGGGTGGGAGCCCTAGCTGGCAGTGGAGACGTGGAAGGAACTGGGCATGGGTGGGTCCAGGTTTCCCTCACAGTTGCTCCCCATGCCATGTGGTCGTGAGCCAGGTTCCTCACACCGACCTCCTAGCTCCACCAGTCTGCGGGGGAGAGGGAATTTCAGTTCATGGGCTGCAGGCATGGCTGCGTCCAAGTTTTTAAGTGATGTTTGAAACAGGGCTGTGTCTCTTTATTTTCTCATCCGCTTGCCTCTGCCTGGCTTAATTCCTACACAGTTTCCGAGTGCAGCAAGATGGCTTATGAGTCCAAGGAAAGAGCCAGTGACTTTTCCTGAGGCACCATCAGAAGTCCCAGGAAGGGTGTTGCTGGCTTGGCTTGGGTGTCCTGCCCACCTGTGAGCCGGTCACTATGGCCAGGGTGATGGAGTACTCCAGTGGCCGGGTCTGGGTCATGTGACTGCCCCTGGTGGGGTGGTTCCTGCAGGAAGAATTCTAGGTAGATTAACAATGTGTCCACTGCACCTACCCAGTCCTCCTCCTCATCAGTGCTACAGCCTGACCCTTCTGCCATCCTCTTGTCCCCAGGTGTCCCTGGGCTTGCTTCAGCCACCGACAGCGCCGGTTCTCCATCCTCGGGGACCCGATCCTGGGCAAGTCAGTGTCGAACCTCCTGGGAGAGCTGCTGCACGAGGAACTGGTGATGCGGTGGGAGCAGCTGCTCCTAGATGATGCCTTCACCGGAGGCGCACTGGCCTGGCTGCCCGGAAGGACGCCCCGGGTCAGGCAGCTGGTCTACCCTGCAGGAGGTGCCTTGGACAGGCTGCGTATCCTTTCTCGCTGGGCAGGACCCCAGCAGCTCCCTCTGGTGGAGGACAGGCTCTTGGCATGGTCCAGGGGAAAGACAGGAAGTTTGGGGGGCCTTGCAGTGATCAGAGGTTTTGTGTGTATCCTTAGCAAAAGGCCCAGATTTCCAAGAGGTTCGCCTGACCCCAGGCGGTGACCCTCGGATCCTTGGGAAACCTGGCCACATCCAGCTCCGGGGACCTGTCCGGCAGGTGGTGACCTGCACCGTGCAGGGAGAATGTAAGGCCCTTGGGTACCTCCTTTGCCTGCTGCTGACCTGCTGCCTGACCCTCACCCTCACCCTCACCCTCACCCTCAGCTCTGCTGGCTGTCCGCTCTGACTACTACTGTGCCCTATGGAACGTCAGTAAGCAGGGGCAGCCCTCCCCTCTCCAGGTGCTGCAGGTCGAGAAGGGGGCCACAGGGGTCAACCTCAGGTAAGGGGGCCGAGTCGGGCTGGTTGGCAAGGAGACAGGCATGGGAGGAGGGGGTGGCCCAATTAATCACACCTATGCCCTGTAGCCCTCACCTGCCTGGGGAGCTGGTTGTCTGCAGCCGTTCGGGAGTCGTCTGCCTGTGGACACCCCAAGATGGGTAATGCCCCTTTCCCGAACAACCCTTTACCTCCACAAACGGCCCCCCCTGGACTGCGGCCCGCACTCCCCACATAGCTTGTCCTGGACCCAGGGCCTGGTTGCCCCGCCTCTCCCCCAACCCCCTCAGCTCATCTCCCCACCCATGGCTGCCCTGTCTCCCCAAGGCTTCAGCAGATCTATAAGGATCCTGAGACCCTTGTGTTTCGAGACCCCTCTCCCTGGCGTTGGGCCGACTTCACCGCCCACCCTCGGGTGCTGACTGTGGGCGACCGCACTGGAGTGAAAATTATCGACACCCAGGTGAGGGGTGGGGGTTTGTCACAGGCTCAGCAGTGGGACAGAGCAGATAACACGGAGTGGGGGCTGGCATGAGGGACATCCCCCAGGGCATGAAAAGCAACAGGTCAGGGACTCCCACGGCTCGTGGTGCTCCAGACCTCGGACTGTGGGAGGGCTGACCTGGCTTTCTCCCCCAGGGCCCACCAGGTTGCGGTTTGCTGCTTTTCCGTGCGGGTGCAGAAGCATCATGCCAGAAGGGGGAACGTGTCCTGCTAACCCAGTACCTGGGGGAATGTGGCCCTGATTCTCTGCAGCCCACACTCCATCTCATCTGTACCCAGGTAAGTGACACCTTCCTCCTGCTGTTCCTTGGCACTGTCTCAGCCAGTTACTAGAGAGGGTCCTGGGACAACTAACTGCAGGTGAAATAAGAATCAAAAACCCTGAAGAGTCTGTGGCCAAAGCATGCTGACGGGCAGGTAGGAATGGCCTCGTGGATTAGCCATCCAAGCGGGGCTGTAATCCGCCAGTGGGGATGCACCAGGTGAGGAGGAAAGGCATGGGGTAGGGGAGCAGGGTGGTCTCTGCACAGCCAGCCGTTCCTTGTGTGCTCAGGGAAGGGTGGGAGGTCTGAGGGTTCCCAGGGTGTTAGTGTGTCTCAAGCATGGGTCCCAGGGTCTGGTGAGTCGGGAGAAGGCTGGGGGAAAGCCAGGTGGGTTTCTATGTGACGGGACTTCTCCGCACCTCCCCTGAGATCCCTTCTCCCAGTTGTGGCCATCAGGATGAGAGAGATAGATGGTCCTGCCCACTCAGGAAGCACCTCTTGGGCGGGGCGGGGCACTTGAAGGTGGAGAGGTGGTCAGGGCCGGTCATGGAGTGCATGCGTGACCACTCGGGTTTGGACTCATCCTGAGAGCCATGTGGGGCCACTGGATGTCAGCAGACCATTATTCCCTGTCTCGGTCACATCCCCTCTCTCTCGTTTCTTCTGGGCTCCTAGTTCTCACTCTACCTGGTGGATGAACGCCTCCCCTTGGTGCCCATGCTGAAGTGGGACCACGGCCTCCCCTCTGCTCCCCTCCTGGCCCAGCTGCTGCCTCCACCCCGCCCTGGCTGCCCGAGGCCACTGCTTCTCGGAGGCCACGGCGGCCAGCTGCAGCTGCTGCACATCACAGGTGAGGGTCCAGTGAGGGCAGGGAGCGTGAGGGAGGTGGGCAGGGCTGGAGCCTGGATGGGACCTCAGCTGTCTGTCCTCCCTCCAGGGGAGGGGGCCTCCATGCCCCGGCTGGCAGGGCCGCCCCAGTCTCTCCCTTCCCGGAGCGACTCCCTCTCCGCATTCCCCCTGCTGGAGCCCAAGAGTCAGCAACAGCTGCAGGAACGTCTACAAGCACCAACTATAGGTACGCTGGGGTAGGGAGGGAGTTTGGGGGACTGCACCCCAACAGGCCTTGGGATCACTGTCACTCTTGTCTGCAGGTCTGGTTGCCACCCTTCCACCCTCTGCCTCCACACCAGTCTTGTCGCTGTTCCAACTCTCAGCAGCTGGGGATGTCTTCCACCAGCGCCTCCATCTTCGGGAGGACTCCCGGTCCCCTGGAGACCCCAGGCCCAACTTCCACGCCCCCACAGCTTCCTGGAGCCCCCGTGCCACTACTTGTTGCCGCAGGTGGCTGAAGGCCCTCCTGGAGGTGCCTCCGGCTCCCCCTGTGTGGGCCGCACCCACCTTTTCCCACCGCCATCTGCTGGGCCTCAAGGAGCAGCGGAAGGTTGAGGGGAAAGTGCCAGAGGGTCTTCGGGCAGCCATGGCCGAAGGGCGGCTGCTGCAGCAGAGGGACCTGGGCTCGCTCCCCACGGCAGAGCCACCCCCGGCCCCTGAGCCAGGCCCCAAGGATGAGCTCAGTGAGCGGTTGGAGGAAGCCTGGGAAGGCCCGGCGGCTGCCTGGTGGGAGCGGCAGCAGGGCAAGGGCTCCGGGCCCAGGAAACAGCCCAAGCGACACAAGCGTCGGATGCAGCTGTCCAGTACCTTCTCCTCGCTCAGCGGCCGCCTGGACCTCTCAGATGCCACCAGTCCCCCTCACAGCCCTGACCGGACATCCCCTGTGTCCAGGCCTCAGCTCCCAGAGACCTTGCCCTCCCAGGAGTTGACTCAGGATCTGTGGGCCCGAGGCATCCCCTCAGAACGGCAGCAGACTCTCCGGGACTATATGGCCAAGCTACCCCTTCAAGGGGACACCCCAGAAGGTGTCTCCATACCGCCCTCCCAGACCTCCAGCATCCAGGCTACCCCCTCCAGGCAGCAGACTCTCCAGGACTGCACAGCTGAGCTGCCACACCAAAGGGACACCCTGAGAGGTGCCACTGTGCCCCCTTCCCAGACCTCCAGCATCCAGACCACCCCTTGCAGACAACAGGCCCCTCGAGACTGTGCAGCCAAACTGTCACTCCAGAGAGACACACTAGGGGGTGCCGCCATGCTCTCTTCCCAGACCTCCAGCCTCCGTACCACCCGCTCCAGGCGGCAGACTCCTGTCCTCTCCGGCTCTCAGCCACGCCGGAAGAAGCCCCGCATGGGCTTCTGAGGGCCTGAGAAAGCTGCTCCCCCACCTCCGCGGAGCCTCGGTCCTGGACCGGCTGTGCCTTCTCTGACTGAAACTTTGGGAACGTCTCAGGGTGCAGGCTTCTCTGCTTCCTGAAGGCCACTGTGGCTGGAGACACGCACAGATGATGTGGAGCCCAGTCGGAGGGACAGGAACTTCCTGTAGTTTGTTTTGCCTGAAGATGCTAACAAAGGCAGGTTCCCTCCAGGAGCAGCGCTGTGCTTGAAGCAGGGCCTCCAGTCAGGCCGTGGGCTCCAGCTCATGCAGGCTGTGTCCCCAGTGTCCCCAGTGACAGGGTGAGACAGTGAAAGGGGACACGGAGCAGCTGCTGGTGCTGTGGGTGTCAGCAGCTGCCGTGGGCTAGTTGGTGTGTGTGAAGCAATTTCTACCATGAGGGAGATGCTTTGGGCCTGCTTTTAGGGACTGAATAAACTCATCACTTGAACATGGTTTTGAGTGATGCAGTTTATAGGACTGGGAGGTGTCCACTTGGGTAGTTTTTGGTGTCTGATACATAAAGTTCATTTGCTCAAAGCTCTGTGGCTCTGGTGGAGGAGTCTGCTCACCTGTGAGGAAAAAACCCACTTGAAATTTCACAGGATGCCAGGGTTTGGGCTAGATTTCTAATCACGTGTGAGGGGAATGGTCTTATCTCGGGGTACCTGATAAAATGGCTCATGGCTCACGTGCGATGTGGAGATATTAAATAACCCACTAGCGCATCTCACATTAATACTGAACTGTTTATAATGTTCGAATGAGGCATTGACAGTTGTACCACATACAACTGCAGGAAACAGGTCATGCTTCGAGAACAAGGAGCCCAGTGCTGCCCAGCACGTGAAGGGGCTGAGAGCGCAGGAGATGAGTTGTGTGACAGGCACATGTCACAGACAAGACCCCAGAGCACGCTCAGGAGTTGCAGGAAGGAAGGGGGTCCCAGCCTGGGGGTGACCTGCACCCAGCCACTGGCTCCCTGTTCAAGCGCAGAGGGGTTCAGTCCAAACCAAATTCAATGTCTTCCTGGTCCCCCGCCTCGGGTACTGCAGGCTCTTCAGGCTTCATGTCGGACTGCACTCCACCACTGTCTGTGCTGGTTTCTAAAGAGGAAAGAAGGTGATCAGTATTCTTGGGAAGTGTGGTCATCCTCTCAATTCTTGCATGCAAGCCTTGCATCAGCCATGCAGGCTGGCGTTCGGAGACAGACCTGGCTGCAAAGCGTCGAGCGAGAGCAGGGCTTGTCTGGGTTCAGCAGGTGCCCTCCTCTGTTCCCAGGGCAGCTGCTGTGCAAACTCCTGCTGGTTTGCTATCGGAAGCACCAGCCACCTTCCCCCTGAAATGCATCTCCCTGGTCTATGTACAGGCCCCCATCACCAGGCCAGGCTGATGTGCCACATTGTGGTTTCATTTGTGTCCCCCCCCCCAAGCTGCTCTGGACACTGTCCCTGCCTGGCGAACCTCATGTCCCTGCCAGCACCGTCACACATCATGCAACCTGATTCTGGACCTTTGCTGTGGAAGGTCCACAGTCTCAGGTCTGCGGTCACCCTTGTTTGTCCCACGTTCCCAGCGGTGGTGTTACCAGTCCTCTCCCTCCCTTGGAAGCTTGGTCTGGGAAAGCTGAGGTTTGGGCTGCTGAGAAAGGGGGTGAAAATGCAGGCTCTTCAGCCCTGTCTACACCTGCTGAATGAGCCTGCAAAGATCTGCACAGCTCCAAGTAGCCTGCAGATGCCACTCCCCAGGAATGGGTTGACTTGGCAGCTTCAAAGAGGCATAAAGGCTAGGAATGTGGTCACAACCATCTCTGTGTTCAGTTGTGAGGGACCCTCTCCTAGAGCAGGGGACTCAGGGGGCAACGGCTCAGGTGGCTATCCCCTGCAGGGCCGGGTGGTCAAGGGTTCATTCCTCCACTGCCAAAGCTTTTGACTCCCATTCCCTTAAGAGTAGGGTGGCATTACCCGGAGGAAAGGCTGGAAGTAGGCCCCCATGCCCGTCTTCACTGTCCTCACTGGAAGAGGGCGGTGCAGGGTCCCTCTTGCAGGTTGGGGGTGGCGGTGGTTGGCCTGAAAGCTCGTCATTGTTGAGCTCCTGAATCAGTGGGCGTGGGGACTTGGAGTTTCTGCTTTGCGTCTCCAAACCCCTCTTCACTGCCTCTTCGAATATGTGTGCACAGGGTGTCTCAGCCTTCCTGGAGGTGTCCTTGGAGATTGCAAATATGTTTGAAAGGCTGTCTGTGGACGTGCTGTCCAAGACTGGCAGTGAGCTGTAGTCCAGTTCGGGGTCACTGTCATCACTCAGGCTCGAGATGGTTGTAATCTTTGGAAAGCATATCTGTTTAAAAAAAAACAAACGTATTGCTTTCACAATACTGGTTCTAAAATGTGCAATGCTGATTCCACTTTTTTCTAGCACAAAATACTCTACTGCTACAGATGAGGAAGGGCCCAGGGAGCAGAGCTCCCCCCTGGACAGCTGGGTCTCAGGACAGACACCCTTAGCCATTTCTGAGCCCCAGCGTTGTGAGCGCTCCACAACCACCTCCACATTTCTTTCTCGCCCTCTGTTGGGTCTCCACGCTGCCCACTCTGTGCCGGGTACACCTGCATGCCCCGGGGCCCCGAATGGGCTCAGTTGCTGCGCCTCAGCCTCTGGCTGGCACGCACCTAACCCAGCCCACTGGACTTAACCCCTCAGAGGCCGGGCCCTATGGGAACTGTGGTCTATGTCTGTCCCTTCCTCAGTGATGAGGTCTTGCACGGATTATGTCCTATCCTTTCCTGTCCTGCGAGGCCGGCCTAGTTCTGGCACACACAGGTTTCCGGCATCGCTGGAGGCAGGAGGGTCAGGTCAGATTGGGAGAACTCCCCATTGGGCCTCATACATTCTTCCTTCCTCCTCCCTTCTCCTTTCCTTCCCTCTCTATGTATCGCTATAGTACAGACGTATATAAGACGGACATATAAACACATCAGAAGGGCAGAAAAATGTCAGGTAATTGTGTGAATACAGAGTGATTAAAAATCAGTGGTAGCCCTGGCCAGTGTGGCTCAGTTGGTGAAGCGTTGTCCTGTAAACCTAAAGGTCACAGGTTCAATTCCCCATCAGGGCACATGCCTAGATTGTGGGTTCAGTCCCCAGTTGGGGCATGTATGAGAGGCAGCCGATCAATGTTTCTCGCATTAATGTTTCTCTTCTCTCTCCCTCTCCCTCTAAAATTAATAACCATGTTCTTGGGTGAAGATAAAAAATGATAATAATAAATATTAGTGATAAAATATGTTCAAGAAAACCCCAGTGGTTAATCATAAAACCTTAAAGAAGTAAGTAACAGCCAGCAGCTGTATTTCCTTTGGAAAGGTGAAAATACAGGGGGTATGCAAATTGTTTCAGCACAGAGTGCATTTTGCTTTTGAATTAAGGGGATATTCTTCGTAAGTTACAAGATTAGAAGTGAAAGGGGAAATTATGCTGATTTGGGGAAAACCTGTGTTACAGCCTCGTCTTGGTCTTCTAGAGATTCGCCTGTATCCACGTCTTCTAAGTCGGGTAGGTCCTGAAAGAGCAAATGAGCCCATGTCACCAGGAGGGCATCCACACTCTGGAGGCTGGGGAGGTGAGACAGATGCCTCCACACAGTCAAGGAAGCCTGAGTCATGTGCAAGCGAAGCATGGAGGGCAAATAGGGAATAACCCAAACCACATGGGCAGCCCCTCGCACGCTCACCACACACACACAACGGCTACTTCAAGTATCTGGACCTGATCGATGAATGAGATTTGCAAGGTGTGATGTGTTTGAAGAATTTCCACATCTTTCTGCCCTTGACGTTGTCATTGAACATACAGCCAAGTTACCTGGGGAGGATGTGATGGGGCCCAAACCAAATGCACGTTGTATGTACAAATTAGTCTCAGGATTCGGTGTGGTGTGAAGTTAGTACATTTTGGACCTCCCCAATACTAGAAGGACTTTTGTGTTGTGCTTGGGTGTCTTTATCTCTAGCAACTGGTCCAGCGTGCAAGGCAGGCAGCACCGTGTGTGTGGTTGGACGTGTGAACTCTGGAACCAGACTGCCCGGGTTGGTATTCCTCCTCCACCGTTGCCCAGCTGTGTAGCCATGGGCAGGCTGCTTAACCTCTCTGTTTCTCAATGTCCTCATCTGCAAAAGGGGATGAGACTAGTACCACCCTCTCAGAATTATTGGAAGGGTAAATCATCAATACATGATGTATCTGGAAGTAAGAACCATAAGAGTTAGCTATTAGTTGTCCTGTATACAGTCGTTTCTCAAATGCTAGATACTAATTGCCTAGTTGTTGTTTCTTAGTATATACAGGCCCAGAGAACTAGAAACCCACTTGGTTTGTCTTATTGAGCCACGCGAAATTGTGAAGTTAGGAATGAAACACAGTTTAGAAATTTATCAAGGAAGTGGGTGGGGAACAGTCGCACCCATGGATTTAAATGGCAGGAGCTCACTTGTGGGCAGAGAAGCAGAGCTGAGCAGAGGAAGCACCACCTGCCCACTAGGCGTGAGGCTAAAGGTGTGAGAAATGCCTCCCCACTCCTTGCCTCACCAAACTCCAGTTCCTGGGGTCGGGGGCAGGGAGGTGACAACTGGTGTGAGTTCTCATGGTGCTCACTCCTGGGGCCAAAGCCCTGAAGACCTATCAGAACAGGAAGAGCTCCAGGAAGGAGAGGGTGCATGAGGCTACAATCTGTAATTAGGTCAGGTAGCCCCAGATCTATAATTAGGTCAGGCAGCCCCTCACTGAAGCGGCATCAGGGTACCAGACACCGGACAGCCACATAAGGAAGCTGGAGCAGCCACAGGACGGGAAGATGGCATCAGCCGCTTGCTGGGCAGCTATCCACAGGTCAGCGCCTCTGATGATAAAATGTAACTGTTTCAACCATTAGGTATAAGGCTAGCTGGACAGAATGGCTTAACGGTGTAACTTCTTTGGGGACAACAAATCAAAAGTTTTGTAGACATAGTTCAAGGGAAATCATTTGGGCTAGCACTTCACAGTCTTGAACCTGTACATCACTCCAGGGAGACCTTATCAAAATGCAGATTCAGATCAGTAGGTCTGGGTGGGGCCTGGGATTCTGCACTCTAACTAGCTCCCAGGTGATGTTCAGCCTGCTGGCCCAAGGACCACGCTTAGGGGAGTGAGGATTTTGAGGGCTGTATCAGATCACTTGTTTTACAGGTGGTAAAACAGATACTTATCTCCACATGCAACTATTTACATACATTGATGAAGAGTGTCTTCTCTGTCTCCAGTGTAACTGTTTCCAAATCTTCACTTCCATCAAGTTTTGCACCTGATGCACACTTGGTGGCCACAATCTGGGGAGCTGACTCTAAGGAACGACAACAAAGAGTTATTAACCTTGGAGTTAGTTTTATATGCAGTGGTCAGATTGACAAGGCCAAAGTCAAGGTGGATTCCAAGAGAAGAGGAAGGACAAAACCCTCATGGGTCAGAAAGGTCAGTCCCTGTGGCAGAAGCTGTGAGAACCCCCCAATAAGAATGGGGTTAGATCTAAAAAGAAAGGAAAGGGAAAAGGAGAGAACTGCCCCCTTCTGGAGCCTAGAGATGACTCAGACAAAGATGGCAGTGCCAGCCAGGAGGAATCAATGCTGAATCAATGCGGAAACTTGGAAAAGGCATGATTGATGGTCAAGGAGAGACTGAGCAAGGCAATAGCATCGAAGGCCAAGTGGGGAGCCGGAGAAGAGGAAGCTGGAGAGCCAAGTTTCATAGCTCCATCTGGAAGGGCTGAACCCACCGCCTTCCTGGACTGCCCGTCCCTCAGGGCACACGCCCCTCCCACTGCACAGGTGTTAGGGAGACCTGTTAAACGATCTCAGTGTTAGCTAGGGAACAAATATGGAATCCAGATGGGGTTCCTCTTTCTCCTCCAGACTCTCATTTTCCTCTCTTTTTTAAAAAGATTTTGTTTTTAGAGAGAGGGGAAGGGAGGGAGAAAGAGAGGCAGAGAAACATCAATGTGAGAGAGAGAAACCTTGGTTGCCTCTTGCATGAGCCCTGACTGGGGACCAAACCCCCAACCCAGGCATGTGCTCTGACCGGGAATTAAACCAGCAACCTTTCACTTTCCAGAACAATGCCCAACCCCCTGAGCCCCCACTCTTCACGCTTCCCAAGGCTGTGCCTTTGGGCCCCATGCTCTGCTTTCTCATAGGTCTCATGGCTCCAGTCACCACATGAAAGGTTAACGTCCAACTTGTCCCACTGCACGTCAGCTCAGCATGTCTGCCCACAGCACTGGCTGTGTCCAGCTCGATTCAAAGAGCCACTTCAGGGCACAAGTTCAGGGTAAAACACAGGAGGAGGCCGGGGTTCTCTGTGGCTGCCATTGTGGACGACCCCAGGCCCACAGCACACTCCACCAGTGATGTGCTTTGCGACTTGGAGCAAGTTACTTCCCCTCTCTGAGCCTCAGTTTCCAACTCCAAAAATGCAGTGATGCCCTTGGCTCGAAAGGTTGTTGGGAAGGCCAAACAAGACGGCCTGTGAAGCTGCGGCCTTCACTGAGTGCCGCGCCTGCTGGACACACACAGAGCTGCCTTTGCCTCAGTCACCGGCATCTGTTAATGACAGGTGCTCCAGTTAACCGCTGAAGCTTTTGGAATGTGCCCTTTGTCCGGTGAGGCAAAGGCTGGTTTCATTCATAGGAAATTCTGCTGCAGCTCCCAAGTGAGAAATTACAGGACAGGGAGTGATTGGGCAGGAAGCACGTATGTCAACACCCAAGCCCGCAGTTCTCCCAGGTCTCTCCCAGACAGTGGGGGCCTGCATTCGGGGGAACTTCTGTCCTGGGCCAGACCAGCTGGAGTCCCCAAGCAGGCCTCAAATACCTCATGGGCTGGGGATAGAACGACCCCTGTCTCCCAGGCCCTGTGGACCGCACAAGTTCCAGGTCTGGCTCATACTCACCAAGGTCACAGCGACAGGATGGCATCCCAGACAAGACCTGGGTTTATCTGTTAGCCGGCAGGACCCGGGTTCCTTGGCTAGAACCTGCTGGGGCTCCTTTTCCTAGATCTGCCTCATCCCCTATGGGAGCCAGAGCCACGGATGGCTACTGAGTGCTTACAATGTGGCCAGTACTCCTAAGGAACTGAATGTTTGATTTTTAATTTTATTTCATTGTTTTTTTTTACATTTATTTTATTGTGTTTTTTCATTACCATTTATCCCCCTTATACCCTCTTTTACCTCCACCTACCGCCCTCCCCTCCTGCAATCTAATTGCTTTTATTTTTAATTAAATGTAAAAGCTGAAGCAGTATTCAAGAACTTGCTCCTCTTAGTAGGACTTCCTTTTACTTTGTGGAACAGGTAGCCTCTGGATTCTGAGGTGCTGTTTGGGTGTCAAACACATACCGGATTTGAAGACCCAGTGCTCCCCTTGCAGTAAAGTATCTCCTCAGTAATTTTATATTGATTTAAATGATTAAATTTTAGATCTATCAGGTTAAATAAACTCTATTGCTTGTGTTTCCCCCATTTCTTTTTGCCTCGTTGAATGTGACTGCTAGAGAACGCAGTCCTGGCTCCCGTTACATTTCTGTGAGCAGCACCGCCCTAGGCGACCACACGACCCGTGCCCTTTATCATATAGAAACAGCGACCGGAAGTGGAGACCTGCCCCTGGGCCCGCAGACGTGTGCTCGTGACTCTGAGGCTGCAATACCAGCAGCGCTGCCCTGAGCCAGCACCTGTGCTGTTTGGATCCCGTTACCTTCCCAGGGAGCTCCCAGGGTGGCTGGCTTGGGGGCCTCAGCGGGGAGCACCCCTCCTGGACCCTGGTCCTCAGTCTCTGCTTCGACGTCTGCAGGCAGCTCCTCTAGGAGACTCGACTTTTCTGGGAAGAGCTCATCCTTGGCCTCAAAGCTCTCTTTGACAAACAGCTCCATTTTCTGCCGCTTCTCTCCATCCTCACGAGGCTCTCCCTTCCCTTCCTCACCGACAGCCACGGTCTCAGTCTCCTCTGGCGCTGGCACCTTCCCTGGACAAGAAAAGTCCAAAGGTGGACAGGGAAACGTCCTGGGAGGACAGGAGTGTCTGCAGGCCACTAGGGGGTGTGCCGTGAACTGCCGAGTGAGCCCAGGGAACTGTCGGGGACCAGCAAAGAATTGCCCTCTGGGGTGTTCACTGCCTTCTGTGACTGCTAAATAGACAGAGCTAAATGTCACTCAGCTCACCCATCTAATGGAACCAGACACAGCCATTGAGAAAACAATGCAGGGAGCTGGGAGATGTGCATGGAAGCACATGGGTTTTAGGGCACGATGAATGGCCACCTTTACTCCCAGATGGTTCAGCAGAACAGGAAAGTGTGTGTGTAAAAATGTTCAAAACCATCTGACCTAAAGATGCAATATAGCTGTTCATTTTATTATTCTCCAAGCTTTCCTGCAAATTTTAAAAATATTCAAATAAAAAGTTGAGGAAAGAAAAATCATGCTGAGGGAGAAAGTGCATTTTATGGAAAATTATTATGCTAATTCAAAAGAGTTGGCAGAAAGCAATATAATTACGCCATTTTTCTATAAAACACATACAGGTTACATGTGTGGGAAAAGCCAGGAAACACACTAAATATTGGTTGGTTCTTGCTGTGATTGTTATTCCTGTGATTTTCCACATGTAGTGTGTTCACATTTTGTAATTAGGTGAAAAACAATAGATGTCACTTAAAAATATACTCAGAGACTCTTGCTTCTCTAAGGTACAGGGAAAGGAAGGGGCTTCTTACTAATTAAGGTGCCCTCAGCACCATCCCCAGGACCCTGCAGGCTCGCGTCAGGGTGGGACCCGGACCCACCCAGGACTTGCGCTCTCACTAGAAGCCTCTATCAAATGCTGGCTAGGGGCATCGGGTGTGGTCCAAAACAATATATAAATAAACCCCACCAAATCCTGGAGATGAAAGACTGTGAGTTTGGCAGCACGGATGTCTGCCTCAAACAGAGCTCTGGGCCCTGTCTGGGCGTGGGTGCACACCTTTCTCTTGACTTTGCTTCTGCAGCTTCCTCTCCTCGGCCCGCCGCTTGATCATCGCCAAGGCCTCGATGCTGTCCGTGATCTTCTTCCTCTCTCTCTCCTCCCACTGCTGCCTCTCCTCCTTCTCAGCTGCATACCCTCCCCTCCCCCAGGCCTCTGCACAGGCTCTGTTTAGAAGGATTTCAGAAAGAAACACAAACCAGGGAGGTTTGAATGTTCACAGGTTAAAGGTCAAGTGAAAACATGCACTGTCGGACTAAGCTTGTTCGTATGTCCCCAAGTCAAACCTAAGCCGCACAGGACACGGGACCGTAAGGGCTGCAGTTAACATTTGTACTTTTTACTCTTTCAAGTCAAATGGTTTGCAAGTCTTCTAGATATGATACCAAAAGCACAAGTGACAAAAAAAATTTTTTCTTCATCAACATTGAAAATGTTTGCAGTGCAAAGAATACCATAAAGTAAAAATATAACCCACAGAATGACACTATATTTGTAAATCATATACCTGATAAGAGACTTTACCTAGAATATATAAAAAAATTTACAACTCATTAATAAAAAGACAACAACATTTAAAAATGGGCAAGAGTTAAAAGAATGAGAAGATAAGCCACAGAATGGAAGAACAGATTTGCAAAAAAGATAAATGAATAAGGGCTTGTATCCAAAAACATACAAAGAGCTAATTAAACTTCAAAACTTAAAAAAAAAGGAGGGAAAAAAGGATCTGGACACCTCACCAAAAAAGATGTATAGTTGGTAAGTAAACATATGAAGAGATGTTCAGTTTCATATGAGATTACAGAGATGCAAATTAAAACAAGACACTGCAACACACCCCATTAGAACAGCTAAAGTCCAAAACCCTGTCAGGCCCAAACGTTCGTGAGGAGGCGGAGCAACAGGAGCTCGCTCTCATTCATTGCTGGTGATACTGTGAGATGGTGCAGCCGCTATGGAAGACATCTTGGAAATGACCAAGCTAATCATAGTTTACCATATGATCCAGTGATCATCCTTCTAAGTATTTACCCAAATGAGCTGAAAACCAACGTCCACACAAAACCTGCACACCACTCTTCACAGCACCACTAGTCACAAGAGCCCTAAAGTGGAAATGACCCAAGTGTCCCTTAACTGAAGGATAAATAAAATGTGGCATATCCAAATAGAATATTATTTTGCAACATTATTGTGGAATGATTTAGTGACCCCTGGTGCAATGTGGATGAGCCTTGGACACATTATGCTAAGTACATAAAGCCAATCAAAAAAGGCCACATACTATATGATTCTCTTACAGGAAGCATCTAGAACATGTAAACCTATACAGATAGAAAGCAGATTTGTGATTGCCAAGAGCTGGGAGAGGGGGAAATGGGGAGAGACTGCTAATGAATAAGAGCTCCTTTTTAGGGGAATAAGAACATTCTAGAACTGATTGTGGTGGTGTGAATATACTAAAAACTACTGAATTGCACACCTTAAATGGGAGAACTGTTCTAGCAGCTGGAGTTACATCACGGCAGGTGACAGAGGAGATGACATTGCTCTCTGTCAGCACTGCCCTTTAATGGGGAAAGACAGACCCTAAACAGGGGAACAAGCATGTCAGAGGCTGTTGTGTCCTAAGAAAAGAAATCAAGCTGAAAAGACAGCAGGAGGAAAAGGGGCTACCAAGACAGGCCAGTGGGTCATGGAGGTCTTAATAGAATGCCAGGTGAGCGGGCGCCTGCTAACACCTGCGGTGTGCACCCCAGGCAGAGAGGAGAGCACGTGCCCAGCACGGACCAGCCAGTGAGTAGTGGAATTAGGATGAAGACCCAGGTGACTCTGAGTCCTTCACTGGAGTCGTGCTACACTCCATTACCCATTGTCCTTGGGAAATGTTTCACAATATTGTTCTGCAAGGACAATGAGATGGAGAGTCTGAATCCTCAGGGTAATGGGTAATGGGTCTCACTGTGAAGGGCTTGCCTGCTATCCCTGCTTATACTCTCTAGTGGGCCAGTGCTGCCTCAGGGCTAGGCTCAGCATCCACAGCAACAGCCACACCCACTGGTTCACTCCTCTGAGCCCGGTATCTGCTCAAAGGGTGCACATCTGTGCCAACTTCTCAGAGGCAACTCTCCTTGTTTTGTCATCCAATTTGGAGTGGAGGCTCTCACTTCTACTTGAAGTATTTGTTAGGTTGACTTAAATTTGTGAGTTCAAAAACAAAATTACCAGCTATATTTCTTTTTTTTAAAAGATTTTATTTATTTTTAGAGAGGGAAGGGAGGGGGGGAGAGAGAGAGAGAGAGAGAGAGAGAGAGAGAGAGAGAGAGAGAGACATCAATGTGCGGTTGCTGGGGGTCATGGCCTGCAACCCAGGCATGTACCCTGACTGGGAATCGAACCTGCAACACTTTGGTTCGCAGCCTGCGCTCAATCCACTCAGCTATGCTAGCCAGGGTATATTTCTTTTTAAATGTTATATCATTTAAAATTCAGACTTCCTTACTCTTCAAACTGTGTCTATGTGACTAAGGTTTTATTCCAAGTTAGAATAGTGATCTCAATAAAAAAACACAGATAAAATAGTGACAATACACATGGCCATCCTGGGTTTATTATCCTTAGTATATAAAGAGTTCTTATGAATCAATAAGAAAAGCCCTCCCAGATCAAATGCAACTGGGAGGCAATCATGAACAGAATACTCACACGGGAGAAAACATGTTTGACAAAGATGGAAAGTGTAACCAACCTCGTCCGTTATCCAAAAATGCAGATTTGAAAGGACACACCATCTTTGCTCATCAATTCACCTAGCCAAGATTTCTTTTAAACGGCAATGTCTGGTGAGGCTATAAATTGTTACAAACTTTCTAGGAAACAATTAGAAAACACGAGCACCTTTAAAAAGGCCCAGACCACATTCTTTGACCCAACAGTGCAACTCCTTAAATTCCATCTTAAGGAAATAATCAGCAACAAGGTCAGAGGCATTGATACAATGATATTTATCAAAGGATTATTTCTGAAAACCTAGGAATAAATGTTCAAAAATAGAGAATTTTCTATTATGAATAATTATATAGCCATTGGACCCATTTCTAAGGAACTTAAGGATGGGTGAAAATGCTAAAAAATCAGAATGTTTTAGAAGTTTAACAAGCAGGCTCAGCTATGACATATTAAAATGTGATCAAAAGGCTTTGCTCTCCCTTACCTGTCCTTTGGAAAAACTGGTCTGTCATCCAGGTACGTTAAGTGTTTCAGTCGAATGGTGACTGTCCTCCGATAATTGGGGATGTTCCGAATAACTGGGTTTCCCATCAAATTCAGGACACGCTGTAAGTGAGCAGGCAGAGCCAAGTTAATTACTGAAAAAAAAAAAGGGGATGTGATTTAACTATTTAACATGTGCTGTGCTCTAAGAATAAATAAAAAGGAAGCCGCAACATCATATCCTGACGACTTTGTTAGAGAAGCCGGACGGGTGTCATCGTTCCTGTGCCATCAGAAGCATCCCGACTTTCTCTGCCTGACCTTCAGACCCGCAGTCTCCTGGTCCTTGCGGAGCGGCGCTGTAAAGCATTTCCTGAGGCACTTCCTAACAGCGGTGATCACATTCGCTTTGCTCACACAATCTCTTGGACTGGAATGTATCTCAGTCTAATGGATTGCTTTTCTCCTTCCCAGCCGGGACCCATTTTAAGAAAAGTACACGGCGGCTCGGCAGATAAGACGTGGTGACTAAGGGGGAAGGGTGGCAAGGGCCCGCTTATCTCCTGTGAGGGCCTTTCCTGCCAGGCCCACGGGTCTCTTGGATGTCTTGTTGGTATCACGGATGAGGAAGAATTATTCCATGATGGCACGCCGCCCCCCATCTTTAAATACTGTCACCTCCCCTTCTGCCTATGAACCTCAAAGAAGGCAAACACGTAAGGAGACGTGTGAGTGAACCACTTAAAACTGGTTACTTACGCTGATGAAATGTTTTTCATACCTGAAGTGGTTTTTGTTGTTGGCGAAAATATACTGTGAAGTAGTTAGCTTAGCCTTTCCCTAATGCCGTTCTCATACTGCCTTCACCGTGCTTGTCCTATTTTCAAGTGACCCATCCTGTGGGGGTGGGCTGGCGGCAGCGCTGCGCTGTGGGCGCAGGCAGTCAAGGGTGCACAGGGTGCGGAGAGTGTTAGGGCAATCATAAAGCAAACTGTAAGGCAGACTGCTCTTGTTAGGGGCATCATATATTGAAGTCCCTGCCCCCAGGACCTTTAATGTAACTGTATTTGGAGATGGGGCCCTTAAGAGGTAAATTAAGACTAAATGCAGTCACAGCAGTGGGCCCTAATCCAATATGACTGGTGTGCTTATAAAAAGGAAGAGATTAGGGCACAGGTAGGCACAGAGGAAAGACAGGAAAAGACAGCCAAAGATCGAGCCCCAGAATAAAGCTAACCTTGCTGATATCTTGATGTTGGACTTCTAACCTCTGGAATGATTAGAAAATTAACTTCTGTTGTTTAAGCCCTAAGCCCATGGTAATCTGTTATAGCAGCTAATAAGAAAAAAACATTATGATGTAATACAGCTTTATATTATCACCATGTGCCAGCAGTTCTAAACTAGTCCTTCATGATAGTATTCTCTGTGGGTTATTCCTGAACTGTTTTTTGATTGACTCACCTTTTCCTTATTTATCGATGCCCTAAGTGGTAAACAGTGAACTTGAGGGCTTCATGTGCTATTTTAAATATTTATTTTGAGTACAAGTGGCAACACATATACCCTGAAAAGCAAGGAAGCCAGCAAAAGCCAGTGGGGTTGAGTGAAAAGGACACAGGTGCCACCTGGAGGGGTTGTCATGGACCAGAAGATGGGGCCCTTTGAGCACCCAAAATTAAAATGGCAGCAAGGGTTAAATCATATCAAATGGTGTATATATAAACCCCTGAGTTTGTAATGATACTGAAAAAAGAAAAACCCTTCACTGGCATCATTCATTTGTTGCTGGATTTTTAACTCACTTCTCTGAAAAATTGATCTATTTAATTGATCAATTTGCCCATAATCGATCAATTAAAAGAAAAAAGAAGCAGACCTTCCCCCCAGCCTTTTCTGTGTGAGCTGCTACCAGGATGGTTCTGATGGCACAGAAACAATGATGCCCTTCCGGTTCTGCTGACGAAGTCGTCAGGACGTGATGCTGGCACTTCCTCTTTGATGATTATTCTTAGAGCACAGCACACATCGAATATTCACATCACAGCCATTTTGTAGTTGATGGGGAAAGTTCTTTGTAGCAGCATTCCAGCTAATACACGCAGAAGGAGTAAGAGAAGTGAAAAGGGACCACCATCAACTCCTGACGGGACAGGGCACTTAGGCCACGCCCATCAGTGGGGACTTTATGATGGCTTGGTCAGGCCGAGGACACCCAAACTCACCAATCAATTCTAAAGCTACAACAAGAGAGACCACCGGTATGACGTGCTCGATGGTGCCGTACAACAGTGCACCTCCAAGTCAGATATTCAGCCTGGACCTGATGAAGCCTCTGGTCCCATTGTCATTCTGCAGGGAATACCAGGAACAGCAGTGCATGTTAAACGACACCATGGGGATGCCATCGACTGAGTCCAGAATGTGGCACACGGCCGGGGAAGGACCCCGTTTCTTTGGCAGATTAACAGGGAGGGGGAAACAGAGAAGGGGAAGAGTGAGAGAGCAGGAGACTCGAGAGACAAATAATACAAACGTGATGTGTGCACCTGCTTTGAATTTAAACAACCCAATGGTCAAAAAAATGCATTTTTTAGACAAATGGGAAAAACTGAACATGGTCTGCACATTAAATGTAGTTATTACCATACTTTAGATATAATGACAGTACATTGTGCTAAAAAGAAGGTCCTCAGCTGTCAGAGATACACACTAAAATATTCGTGGGAGAAATGATGTAGCGCCTGGCACTTAAGCTGATCCAGCTAAAAATACGAAGAGAAAAAGAGTATGAAGGGAGGCAGAGAAGGGAAGGGAGGGAGGAAAAGGAGAGAAGAGATGTGCAATCTAAAGAAAGTTAAAATATGCAAGTTTTGTGTGTTTTACCAAATCAGGCATGATCTCCAGAACGCTCAGGATTTCTGGGTCACTCAGCTTATTGTGGGAAAGATCAAGGACGCAAAGTTTCACACACTCCTTTAGATGCTGAATGTCTTCCACCGTCTCGAGGTGATTGTGGGCTATCTGGAGCGTGTTCAGGACTGGCAGGCAGGCTGGAAGATGAGGTCAGCAAGGGTAAACAACCAAGGTACACACATGTTTTTGCCCATAATATAAAACTGTAGAGCCTCCCCCAGGGGAAAGCGGTGGACATAATAGCATTTAGAAAGAACTCTTGTGGGGCATCCTCACAGAGGTTTTCAATGGTCTTGATGTAATTGTTGCTGAGGTTAAGAGCGTCCAGTTTCTGCAGAGGTTCTAGGTTCTCGATTTTATGCAGCAAGTTCACTTGCAAGAAGAGGCAACGCAATTCGGTGAGGGCTTCCAGGTTCTCGATTTTCTGTATTCCATTGCACTCCAGCCAGAGACAACGCAGCCCCGTGTACTCTTCCAAGTTCTCGATGCGATCGAAACCTAGCAAGAACGGGTGTTGATGAAGCTCCTCCATGCACATGAGAGACAAGAGTCATCCTAGCTTTTGCCTACCCGCCTAGCATCCACACCTCCTTCTTCTAGTGACGGTACTGCTACTTTGGTTTGAGGAACATTCCTTTTTGACGCTACCCCATGGCTCTCAGAGTCACCACGGTTCATTCCAGGCTGGTCATGCTTAGTTAGATAAGCAGGGCCAACTTGGATGAATCCCGGGGCATGCAGCTGGCTCCACTGGAAAAAGTCAGTCTTTATGTGAGAGAGGCCAGCTTGGCAAGGGGGCACCTAGCACAGCAGCAGCGACCTTCCCTTCATGGGTGAAGGTGAGGATTGACTTACCTGAAATGAATCAGAGGAAATGAGGATCAAGAAAAGGAGAGAGAGAACCTCATGGAGACACATTATGAACACCAGGATGGAGCTAAGCCTGAAGCTAGCGCAAACTGGGTCTCGTTTTAATTCATTTTTCAGTTTTATGAGCCAAATTGAAAGTTAGCAGAACAAACGGTCGACAGGTTGACTGCAACCTCATGAGAGAACCACCCAGCTAAGTCATTCCCAGATTCCTGGTCCTGGGAAACAATGTGAGATGCTAAATTTAGGTGGCTAAGCTTGGGGTGAAGTTGGCATGCCGCAGTAGATAGCACAGGCCCATCTCTCTCTCTGACCTTCTACTTCTCTGACTCCCATTTGGTCTAACCTCTGGGTCCTCTTTTTCTTCCTGCCTCTTAAATATCAGTCCCCTGGGATCTGCCTTCCTAAGTCATCTCCTCACCACTCCCCCTGGACATTGGATGGAGAATTTTGAAGGGGACAATGTGGAGGTGAGGAGACTAGTCGTTCCAAACCATTAAGGGATTTGTGCTGCTGGAGCACTTCGAGAACCCCCCTGGCCTGGCACCCCTCATGGGGGCTGCGCCAGGGCACCGAAGGCATCCTCGTTGTGTCCACCACTGTGTCTCTAGCGCTGGGCAGTGCCAGGCACACAGGTGGCCCTCAGCAAATACTTACTAAATAAACAGAGGACTGATGAGGCAGGTGGCCATCCGCAATTCAGCCCTGACCGGGAATTAGCACTCTTTCTCATTGCAAGGACTATCCCTGTCGATGAACCCAAACTTTAATTTATATATGAGATGGACACCAACTCTGAGCCCTTGGGAATGTCACTGTTTATACCTCTCCATTCTGAAAGGCACCCCATGACCCTCATCCTTCATTTTCTACACCAGTCTTCAATCCTTCACAGTATATCTCGCCCAAGCCCAAAGCATTTACAATTAATTTTTGGCTTGAAAAATTACTAAGTCTTTGGAAAACTTAAGTAAAAGATTCCAATGTGTTTTCCTTGTATCCACAGAGCAAGTGACCCCTTCATAAACTCAAAGGTAAGGCTTTTTCTTCAAAGAAATATTATTGCTCTTCCCTAAGTCTCCACTAAATTCTGAAATTTCTACTTAAATACAGTTTGAGAACTCCAGATGATCCCTGCAAGTAATTTTTTATACCAGCAGAATCCTTCTGCCTGACAAAGACACTTCCTCTACCAGGTCCTTACCTTTAAAGTGTAAATACAGTGTATCATTCAATGCTGGGGTGATATAAAGCTTGTGTTGCTTGCAGAGTTTTCGAAGAAAGTTTTTAGTCATTCTGTTCAATGAAAAACATGAACAAGAAATTTATCTGAGTTTGTCAGCTCTGAAACATATTCCAAAAATTCTTTACCACATCCTTTCCTTCCCCCAAATCCACAAGACCCTATATGCCTGATAACTATTTTAAATCCTTTACTTTTTAATAGCTTTCAAGGACTTATCTAATATTGGTACTTTCAGCATTTAAAAAAATTGCAATATATGTTCTAATAAAAATATTTTTAAGAGTGTCATCAAGAACTATTGCTGTTTCTCTCTCCAGGTCTGGCATTCAAGTTTAACAGATTGTGGATAGGTGTGCCGCAGAGGCCGGCCAGCCTGACTCCATGCCCACAGACATTGGGCTGTTTAACCTCCATGAGCCTAACTTCCTTACTGTGCAGTGGGGTGGTTACACCCTCTCCCTTAGCGGTAAACATGTGCTGTGACAGGCTGCACCATGCCCGCGTACCTGGGGCTATGATCTTCTTGGTCATTTCTTTGGTGAGCTAAGCAACTCTCTGACCCGCTGTCACCACTCTGTTTCTGCTCGCTTTTGTTGGATGTGTCAGCAGGACTTGCGCATGCTTCCTTAGGATCATTAAATTCTGTAAAATTAAGAGAGTGGTTCTATGCAGATCAAGAAATATATTTAAAAGTTCCCCCAATTTCAACTTGATTAATAACTGTCCACTTCATAGTATGAAACACCAGTACTCTCTAGATGTATAAACATTTTTAAAGGTCTATGGAAATTTTGCTTCTAGGTAGGTCCTCTGTGAAAGCTCTTGTACAGGTGCACAAGGAGATGTGTACAAAGACATTTGTTTCTGCATTATTTGTAACAGCCACAAACTATTAACAGTGCAAATGTCCATCCATAGGAACTAGTTAAATAAAGAAATGGATTATTATTCTGCATCAGAAAAGCATGCAGTGGCACTATATCACCAATATGGCTAATTCCCTCCTGTCTCTCTCTCTCGATATAAATATAAAAAGAGAAAGAGAGAGAGAGAAAAGTGATAGAAAGAATCCATACAAAATTATAGAGGAGAAAGGAACGGTACTAGGATGAGAGGGCATCGAATTTATTTGAACTATATGGTGATGTAAGATGGTTTGACTTTGGGCGGTGGGCACACAATGCAATATACAGATCATGTACCATAGAAATGAACACTTGAAACCTATATGACCTTATTAACCAATGTCACCCCAATAAACTTAATTCTCTGAAAAACACTTTAAGTGAATATGATAAAAATATTAATCATTTTCAGTTCTTAGTGGTGCTACATGGGTGTTGGTATAATGTTCTCTGTTCTTTTTAAAAAGTTCTCAAAAGGAAAAAAAAACAAATAGAATCCAAAATAGTGGAAATGAGCACATTCAAAGGCACTTAATCTTAAGGGTTGCTGGCTTCTCCTCTGTGTGTACTTGTGAGGCCTATTGAATGAGACTCTATGCTCCTTATGTGGAAATGGGTGCTACATTTCCCCATTTCCCACTGCATACAATGCCCAGTCACAAGAAACACCAGATAAAGATTTGTGAAATAAATAATAGGTGCTTAAAATACATAATAATGCTTGATTATATGAATAACAAGAGCTACTGCATTAATTTTTTAATGGCCCATTGTATGACAGAAACTCTGTAATTATCCCTGCTTGCAGATGAGGAGACTGCTCCACAGAGAGGTTAAGCTCTGGGCCAACAGCCATAAAGCTGGCCAATTGCAGAGGTGCAATCTGAACCTAGAGTGACCGGCTTTCTACGGAACAACATGGCTTTCCAATAGCTCCTCATACAGGGCTTGCCTGGACAGTTGATGCTCAAGATATACTTGTTGACTGGGTTAAAAAATGAAACATAAATCTAGTCGTTTCTTTATCTAGTCACTAAAAGGTCTCCCGTAGGGCCGTAAGTCAAGTGGGTGCATAGGCTGAAATCTCTCTTCTATGCCCATTCTGGGAAATGGCAGAGTCACCTGCTGACCCCAGAATGGCCGGCTCTTCATTCCCTTTCTCTAGCATGAATTCAGTTAAGATGTCCTGCCCTGGCATCTTTTGATCCTACATGGTGATAGTAACAAAGGGGAAAAGGATGTGTGTTGGGTAAGGACTTGGGTTCCGGAGTCAGACTGTCTGGGCCTGAGTCTGTTCTGTTACTGACCGGCTGAGGGCAAGCTGTTTGAAGCAAATTCTATAAACTTTTTAAGTTCCCGTTTCCTCATCTGTATGAAATGGAGGGAGCAGTGACTACTGCAGAGGGCGAGTGTATGGCTCAAATGTAGTGAGCGCTTAGCACACCTCCTTTAATAAGTGTGGGCTGTTATTGCTATTATTATTATTATTATTATTATTATTATTATTGCTGGCTGTGAAGATCAGGTATATGGTGTTGCTCGCAGCCCGCTGCCTCCCTCGCCTCCCTGGGGCGGCGGTCAGCACCTTCCTTGAGGTCGCCTTGGTCTGCGTTCCCGTGGTCACCTGCAGAGTCCTCCACACCCGGCACCACACCCGGCACCACACCCGGCTTCTGCGCGCAGTCCTGTTTCTCTACCCCGTCCTCCGTGGGCTCCGAGACCTCAGGGTGCATGTTTACTCCGGAAACACCGAACAACCCGTAGCAATGGGGAGCCCCGTTTCGCCGGGTAGGTACTGCCCCTAGCCGAGCCAGGGAGGTCCGACTTTCCTTCGCACCCAACCACCGGCGCACGAGTCTTTTGCAGACCAACGCTTTCTTGGTCTCCAAGGCAACCGCTGCACTCACGCACTCGGAGGGACTTGCACGTCCCGACGCTAGGGGTGGGCCTCACAACGGCTCCGCCCACCGGCGCAGGCGCGGGTCACGTGGGGGCGCGGCCCAAGGCAGCTGCGGCAGCGGTGACAGGGTTGGCGTTCGCGCGGGTCCGATTAGAGCGGCTTGGAGACTGCGCCGCTTTTGCAGGTACCGCGACCCCCGCACCCGACCCGGGGCCCTAGACCCGCCCCGTGCCCCTTGGTGCCTGCGGGATCTTGGGCCACTTCTCCCTCCGCGCCACGCCCCCCGGGACCGTTGTCTTTCTGCGCCGTGGGCATTTAGGACCGCTTCCTCCCTCTCCCCTTAGACCCTCGCCCTCAGCACTTCTCCCTCCAGGCCCGTGTTCCCCAAACCCAGAGCGCCGTTCCCCACCTCCATCCCGGCGCTGCACCCCAGAGGACCCTCTCTGCTGGGCCCGTACCCTCCCCGCCGGACTCGACAGATCTTGGGCCCCACCCACCCCAAGCATTTGGTCTCCCTCTCCCCCCGACCCTGTTCTGGGTGCTGCCCACGAGGCTCTGAAAAATCACTCTCTTTGCCCATGCTTCTTTATTCTCATCACCAAAGGACTTGGTCTGAGTGGGATTTGTTCTGAATTAAAAGTAATTCAGAATAAGGTAGCGCTCGAAGAAATGGCACCACCAGTTCCTGAAGCAGAGGTCGCTTGCTCAGGCTTGCTTGGCCGTGACAGGTGCTGGAAGGGAGGAGTTCTGGAGACCTGTGAGGCCGCCCCCTGTCCAGAGGAGCGTGCAGCCCAGACACAGCCCAGCAAACCCTGCGGCCCCCGGTGATGCCAGCAAGATGCCCTCCTGGGAGTCTCCCAGTGGGGCCACCAGCCAGAGTTCTGGACTTCCACAGAGTTTGATCTGAATCACCACCGCCCACTTCTTAGCTGCAGGGTCCTGGCCCGGGCACTTTACCTTAGTTTTCCCTTCTTTAAACTTGAGACGATTATTATAACACTGCTTCATAAGGTTGATGAGAAATAAGTGAGCCGGCAGGAATAAGCACTTAGAGTCTTTTGCATAAAGCCAGCTCTCAGTTTTAACCCTGACCACCACAAATAGCCCATAGCTAACACTGAACAATAATGACTAATAACTAGGGTTTATTGAGCACTTATGCCCCAGTCACTGTTCTAAGTGCTTTATGCGTGTGACCTTACTTAATTATCATTATAATCTTAGGAACTATTATCCCCATGGTTTATAGGTGATGAAAAGAAAGCTCAGAGGTGAAGTAACTTCACCTTCACCAGAAACACCTCTCTTACATGGGGAGTCCAGATTCGAATCCAGGAAGTCTTTTCAGTCTGGGTTTTAATCACCACAGTAATAGTTTAGGAGCATGGAATGGTTTTTTAATTAAGATAGATTATATAACATAAACTTTACCATATTAGCCATTTAGAAGTATACTTTTCATAGAAGCACATTCTTCAGTGTGCAGCCATCACCACCATTCCAGAACATTCCTGTCTCCCAGAGAAGCCCCGCCCCATTAGCAGGTCACACCCTATTTTCTTCTACTCCCCTGTCCCTTGGCGACCCTAATCTACTTTCTGTCTCTGTGGATTTGCCTTTTCTGGACATTTCATGTAAATGGAATCATGATATTTGGCCTTTTCTGTCTTTTGGCTTTTTTTACTCAGCATAATGTCTTAAAGGCTTGCCTAGGTTGTAACATGAGTCATTACTTCATTCTTTTTATTCATTTTGTGGACAGACCACATTTTGTTTACCCTTTCATCTGTTGTTCACGGACATTTGGGTTGTTTCCACTTTTTAGCTATTGCGAATAGTGCTGTGTTATACAGGTTTTCGTGTGAGCATAAGTTTTTAGTTACCTTTTGTGTATACCTAGGAGCAGATGCTATTATTAGTTTAATTTTTACATCACAAATGAAGACCTGAAATTGAGGGGCATTGGCCCTTAAGTGAGCACCTAATTCCGCTGCTACTCAGCTCTCAAGGAATTTAGGTTAGGGATGCACAGAGCAGAGAAGGAAGGCAGGGCGATTTGAAAAAGTCATTACACACCACAGTGACTGTCAAAGCACTGACACAAAGTTTGAGAAGCTTTTTAAGTTTCATCCTTCAGAATGAAATGTGAGCATTGAATGCAAAGCAGTATTTGCTTGTATTTATCAAATAACTACTGTGTGCACAGCAGCATGCCAGGTCCTGAGGAGGAATGTTAACGATGGGTACGATCCCAGCTTCACACCTTCACGTAGCTGCAGCGGGGATTAAAGGCTTAAGCCTGAAAAACAAAACTGAAAACTTGTAGTAAATAATATAGAAAAATATCTCTCTGACCTGGGGCTAAGATGAGATTCCTGAAATAAAACACCAGCATAAATTGTACAGAAAAAACATTGATGAATTTGTCCACATTAAAATGAAGACATTCAGTTTTATTGAAGATACTACAAGGAGACAAAACATACAGAGAACGGGTATCTAGGAAATAGAAAGAATTCTTACAATTCTGAAGTAAAAAGACAACACAATAGAAATAAGGCAAAAGCTAGGAATAGGCATTTCAGAGATGAGAAAACTCAGCACACGAACATCGGAAGAATGCCAGTCAACCTTATTAGTAATCAGGAAGTGTCGATTAAAACCATAGTGAGGCCCTGTTTCACAGTACCCCGTGGGCAGCAGGTGAACTGTTGGACATTGCCAGCTGCTGAAGAAGAGGCTGTGTGAACTCACACTCACTGCTGCAGGTGTGCAAATTGGTTCAGCCACTTTGGCAGTGTCTTCTTGAATATGTGGATGTCTTAGGCCCCAGCAATTTGACTCTTAGGCTTATCTCTTTGAGAAACTCACACATGTGCTCAGGGAACATGCAAAAAAAATGTCCATGACACTGCTGATTATAATTGTAAAGTGAAAACCAGCAAAACGACCCAAATGCCCATCGGCAATAGAATGGATATACGAATATAGTATGTTTGTACCATGAGGTGGTGTGCAGCAGTGAAGGTGTACCTCACAGCTACAGGAGCATGGATGAGTCTCAAAAACAGTGCTGAGTGAAAGAAACAGGTCGCCAAACAATGCATGCAGTATGACTCTTTTATGTAAAGCTCAAAACCAGGCAAAAAACAGAATACAGTTGTTTCAGAATCTATGCTGGGGTAATAGCACAGCTACTTAAAAAAAGGGAGGGGGTGATTATGTCAGAATTTAGGAGAGTGGTTACCCCCAGGGTGGCAGAGGGGGATACGGTCAGGGAAGCAGCAGATGGGGCTTCTGAGACTGGCTTTATTTATGCAGTAGGGTGACTATGTGGGTGCTTTGATTTATTACTCTTTGAACAACTTCCATGTATATTTTCCACTTTTTTTAAGTTACAGAAAAGTTAATTTTAGGTAACACTCCTGCCCTCAGACAGAGACAAGTTAAACACTTAAGTAGAATGCAGAGCAGTGCGGTGAGTGCTGTGTTGGTAAGAGAGACAGAGTGGAACTCAGAGGCGGGGGTTTCTGCCATGAGCTAGGAGGGGAAGGGAAGGGGTGAGGGGGCTCCGGTTCATCCCCAGGGCCTGGCGTGCCATCGGTGCTCATCAGCGAGTACTGGGATTGAACTGGGGAGAAGGAATGGGACTTGAGCTATTTGGAGAAAGACATATAGGATTTGAGTGCTGAGCACATGGACAGATTCAGACTCTGTGTGAAGGAAGTAAAATTCCTATAACAAATGTTAATGAAAATAAAGTCCAAGCCATGGAGCCTTACTGGAAAGTTTTACAGTGCCTGCTGTTGATGAGGATGGTGAGGACCACCCACGTCTGTCCCAGTCAATTGAAGATCTTAGGACTCTCTGAGGCTACTTTCCGCTTCCTGAATACACTTGAAGATTTTGGTTTAAAGGGTGTTGCAGGATTTTAAACTTGTCTTTTTACTGTCCTGAAAACTAGACTGAGGGTCTGTCTATCCATTTATCAATTTCCCATGCCTCCTGTAACAAAGAACCACAAACTTAGTGGATTGAAATGACACAAACTTGCTCTCTTTCAGTTCTGGAAGCCAGAGAGTCTGCAGTCAGCCTCACTTGGCTAAAGTCAGGGTTTCAGCAGAGCTGTCACTTCGGAGGCTCCAGGGGAGAATCCGGCCTTTGCCAGATTCTGGAGGGGCCAGCATCTCTTGACCCCTCTCTCCATCTTCAAATCCAGCAGTTTAGCATCTTGAGGTCTCTCTCCGTCTTTGTTTCTTTCTGACCTCTGCTTCTTGGTTACTTCTTCTCTGACTCTGACCCTTCTTCCTCCCCTTAGTAAGGATACATGTGATCCCATTAGACCACCCGGATAAACCAGGATAATCTCCCCATCTCAAGATCCTTAACTTAATTATACCTCTTAGCAAAGTCCTCTTTGCTACATAAGGTGGCATATTTACAATGGTGGAGGATTAGGAGGGGGATATCTTGGGGTGCCGTGATTCCGACAACCATAATGCCTTACTGGTGGGGCTTTGTGATACTTGCTTTGTTTTCTTTGACAACATTTTGGTCAGTCTGATTTATGTTCCTTTACCATCCATCCCAGGTGCCATTCATTTGGATAGCCTGGTGATGTTTGTTTCATGCAAAATCACTTTTCCCAGAACTCTTGATTCATGAAGGTTTTCAAGCAGATGCATGGTCAAACCAAACCCACAGCGTCCCCAGGTAGGCTGGGGTACAGCGTACAGGTACTCCTGGGGTACAGGTACGCCTACAGCAGATGCAGTTGCTGAGTTGCATCAGCTAAATAGTAGGCCCGGATAATGTTGCAGCCACAGCAGTTGT